TGTAAAGTGTGGACATAACACGAAAAAACAGAAGAAAAAGTCTGATTGGCATGTGGAGCCAAAGCATGAATTAATTACCTGGATGTGGTTCATGAATGTACCATACCTATCATGGGGTACAAAGAATACTTTCAAAGTTGAAGACAAGATTAAAAAACATAGAACAAGTTATCAATATTGTATATTTGTTTTATGTTTATATAGTTAATTTTTTATTATTTTACTTTTTACTAAGTACAAACAGACACAAGTATGAAATAGTACAAAATTAAATAAAAACTTCTAGTGTTGTTAGTTGGGAAATATTTTAAATAAACGTTAAATATATAAATCAAAAAATAAAAATAACAGGTGAAAATAAAATGATTGTTAAAAAATAAATATTAGTAAGCAAGATTTGAAAAATACGTTACTGAATATAAAAGGTGTAATATAAGTAAGACATACATATAAAGGTAGCAACTTAATGTTTAACTGAAAAATATTATATTAAAGATTGAAGGCAACTGATTCCAAAGTTAAAGCCAGAAAGGCTAACAACATGAAGAGAAGTAACCCTGTAAGCTTCTTTCATCTCTCTTATCTGCTTCAAAGTAGAATCCAGATTATATACTTAAGAAGGCCATGTCCTTGACAGAATGGCTAGGTTGGTTCAAATGTTGAGAAAGGTCTTTTTGAGTTTTAGTACCAATAGTTCCTTTTTTAAAGGAAAAAAACATCTATAATATAGAAAAAGATTGTTAGGAGGCAGTGATCCTTCATGATTAATTTTATTAATGATATTTATAAAATACTTTTTGCTTTGATGCACAAAGGAAGTTTAGCAGAAATGTTTTTTATGTGAATAGATAACTTTCCAGTTGCCATGTTTGTATAATATAGAAAATATAATAATGGTGAAAAGCTCACCAAAGTTAAATAATTTTATTAGTAAACTAGGAAACAATGTTTTGGGCAAAAGCCCTTCACCAGGGAAAACCCGGATGAAGGGCTGTTGGCTGAAACATTGTTTTCATGCTTACTAATAGAATTATTTTAATTTGGCAAGCTTTTCACCATTATTATATTTTCTTTTTTACATTTTGGAATTTCCTTACCCATACAATTCTTTTCTTACCAGGTGTGTGTATTTTAAATAAGAAAATTTTCTGACCAAATCTGGTTGGGTGTTAGGTATTGGAAGATTTTCTTTCAGTTTGTTTAGTTTGAAGGAATTACTTACATTTGCCATTGATTATATTTGTGAACTGTGAAGAAAGAGGTTAAGACTCAGACATATTGGCAGAAGAAGATGAGCAATCATATTGATGGCAGGAACTGTAATGGAAAAAACAAGTGTCTTTAGTCCAAAAGATGGTAATAAAGAATATGAAAAGATCCTTATGGAGAAGGATTTCAGAGTAGAAGCATAAGTCTAAAACACACTGGCAAATGTTGGACAGGACTTTAGTTTGACAGTGAATTTTGTTAAGGAATACTGAGAAGAGGTGTATGTGTGTGTGTGTGGGGGGGGGTCTAGTGTAGATGTAGATGAGAGTAGTGTTATTGGAAGATAAAGACAGACTTGGGAGGTACCAGAAAAACTGAGGTCAAAACCATCATGGGCAAGACTATGGTTAGTAAGTGGCCTAATATTTATGTGACTAATAAAGGTGAGATGTCAATTTTGTTCGCAAAGGTCTATGAAAAGTTTGTTGATGTGCTTTATTTTGTTATATATTTGAATGATATGTGTATACATTGTATTTTGTAGTGAAGAGTGTTGATTTACATGCCTATGGAAGATGCTAGAAATGGCAAGCTTGATGTGTGGCTTAAAACTAAAAATATGATATATTATATTGTGATTTAATGTTCCAAGAGGCAGTCCTCAGTAGGCTTGCAAATCTGATAGAGATCACTAATATTCAAAATGAATGATGACAAAGCAATGCTTCCTATTAAAGAAGACTACATGTGTATGGCATTATTTAGAGCAGCTCCACAAACATAAATAGGGTGTTCAAGAAAAAGTTTCATATATGTACTTTAGCATGGAGTCACTTAAGATGCATATTTTAGGAAGTAAAAGGGTACCCAAGTTGGATCTGTGTTTTTATGCTCATGATAGTTAAAAAGATTTAGGATAAAAAATTTAGTGAATCATATTAAAAAGAACATTAAATCTGACACAAATATTATAACAAAGCCCACTGACAAGGGTTATGCTTCTGTTAATCTCAATGAAAAAGACTACATCACAAAAACTAATCACCAACTCAATGATGCTAATTCCTACAAAAGCTAAAACAATTCACACATGTGGTCAATGACAAATTGAAAACATTCCTTTAATCCAACAAACCGACAAAAACTCATCCCAATGCTTGACATCCAAAAAGGTTTGCCTATGAAAATTTTACCTTTTACCTAATAATCCAGAATGTCCAATTATTTCTAACACATATATGGTAACTGAAAACATACTGGTAACAAAACACACTTTGAAAGTTTTCTGCCAAAACCATTCAAACTAGACTTAGTCTTACCCTTCTTCATAGGGCCTACTTAATCTGTTTAGATTACATCTCTTATTGATAATGAAATAACTTTCCTACAGAACAACTTAAGAAAAATTGGGTATCCTTCATCCTTACTAGAAAACTTAACACATAACTTTCTTACTAAGAAAATAACTCCACCGAATAATATCCGAACATGTTCCCTCTAACACTTGTTATTCCTTACCTTGGAAAACAGTTTTATTGTTAAATCCCAACTCAACAAGCTACTCAGGTCCTTCTACCCCAAATTAAACTCCATATTATCTTCAAATCGTCACTTTGTATGAGTAGCTTTGTTAGAACTAAAGTCAAATGTTGTATATAGATATGCATGTGGTAGCTGTAAAGTCATTTACAAATAGATGCCTTAGAACACATGGAAGTTCCTAACAGAACTGGACTTAAACTCCACCTAATTCTCCTATATATTCTCACAACAAAACATCATTGCACCCTATTAGAAGCCTTTTCAATACTAACTTCTGAATGTAATGATCATGAACTATTGATAAAAGAAGTTCGACAAATCATGAATGAAAATCTAAGCCTCAATAAAAATTCAAACTTATTCCCCTTTGCTTTATTTAAATAGCTCTCTCTCTCTCTTTTTTTTTCAACCTGAAGGTTTTTATAATTTTTCTAACATTATTCATTGTATTTTTATATTAGTAATTTTTCTAAAAATTCTTCAAATTGTCATTTTCATAGATTTGCTGAAGATGGAATATGTGTAATTCCAAAACATTCATTTAAAGATGTTTGCAACTGTTGCTGTTGCTCTACTACACATCAAGGTTACAAGGAATTCCATAAAGGCTATTGAGGAAATTAAGGATCACTGCCTCCCAACAGTATTTTCTTCACTATGGACTGTCTTTCATTTGCAGTAATATTTCACATGATGAAAGTCTTGAAACTGCACTTTGTTTAACTAATCCATTAAAATATCAAAAATTAATTGATTTACCCAGACTCGTCTTAACCTTGAATAAGTACAGACTAAGTTTTAACCTTGAATAATCCTGATTTCAGCAGGATCATTATATTCAGACTAAGGTCTTAAGCCTGAATAACTCTGACTTCAGCAAGAACATTATATTCAGACTAATGAACTATGAGTACCAAGGTAGCTCCTAATTTTCCTAACATATCTATGTGTAAAATGGAAACACAGAGCTAAAAGAAAAATATTGTAAAATACAGACTTGGAAATATTACATTCATGGTGATACTTTCTATATTTGAATGGTTGATATTGAATATTTCCAAACTTTTTACCACAAAACTATTAAGCTTACATTTGACTGTTTCCTCATAAACAATCTTTCTTGATGTCACTGTCTCCACAAAAGATGGCTTTCTACACATTGATGTATACAGAAAACCAACAATGACCAAAATATCTTCATCAGAAGAGTTTCCACCCTACGCACACTAAATTAACTGTTACCTATAGTCAAGCCCTAGACTCCAAGAAAAGTTGTAATAACAAAACATAGGGAAGAAGTACTAAAAAAAAAGAAACATGACACATAAATTATGAGATTCATAGACAGATTGAAAAGGCTAGCAACATTCAATGAAATATCCTCCTCCAATAGTCTAACATTAACCTTTTTAACAGAATTCCTCTTGTAATTACATACCATCCAAATCTCAAGAACATTTCACATAAAAAAACATTCCTATATATTTCAATTTATGGAGTGTTTAAGACTAATTTTCTGAAAAATTCCCATTTTTCTTTCTAGTAAATAAAAATCTTGCTGACATTTCAGCTCATGCTAAAATGAACTACACATCCAAAAAGAATGGTTGCCAAACTTGTAACAATACTCATTATCAGACCTGCAAATTCATGAAAACTATCCTTAGAGAACATTTTAACATTCAAAAACATATTCCTGTCACTAAACATTTTAATCAAACTGACCATTTTATCAATGACATGACTTTTTTAGGTACTACCAATGCTGTATTTCAAGCTAAACTAGACAGTGATAAAAGAAATTTACTGGATTGTTGCTATTAATAATGTTAGTCCTTATGGCATTTATCTTGATTCTGACATTTAATATCATCTCTGTCTTACTTATTGTACATGCTTTATGTTCTGGAACATATTTCTAATATTTGGGCTTAACTTTAACAATTATTTTATTTAACCTACTTTCTCATATTTTAAGATTTTTAAAAAATTATTTAATGTTTTATAACAATTCAATCCATTGAATCACCTTAGAAATTTATTTAATTTCATACTATTTCATGTTTGTATTGAGTGAAAAATAAAAGATACTAATAGAAATGTAAAATGAATAAATAATAAAGATAAGTTGTTCTGTTTTTTCTAATCTTGTATATAATTTTCAAATTGTTCTTTAGGCCTCATAATAGGAAAAGTGATCCACCCCATGTAAATAACAGATTACATTAACTCACACCTAGCTAATCAGATTTACTTCTTGTGTTTCAGTTTATTTCCACATTTTACACTTCATTATACCATTTTTTCTTTACTCCTGAAGAAGACACCTTCATCTGTAAAAACCACTTGGGTTTTATCAGGTTTTTTTCTTATTGCTCAGCAGTTACTAAGAAACACATCACCATCATAATGCTAAGTAAGACCAAGTAATACATCTACCTTATAATCTAGAACATTTTAATACATTATACAGAAATCAATAAGGATATCTTCAATTATATTGACTTATTGCTCAGTACAGAACCAAATGAATATAATATTCAAGGTCATCATATTGATTTATGCATTACTGATTGAAATAACCAAGAAACATATAATCATCTGGAACAAAATATTGCAAGATAAGTATTTTCAGCTGAATTACAAAATAAGAAATTTTAAAAATTAGACCTCCTTCTTAAGGAGTGAATTGTGAATGTTTACTTGCATAAGGGCTCAGATTATTATTTACTTTGTTTTGTTATTTATCTAGATCAAGTGTGATATATTGATTTATTGTTTGGCCATGAATAAAATCTCATGGATTATGTAAAATATATTATCCAGTACATTAACCAAGCAAATTTTAAGCTAGATAAGTCTACAGTGATATGATGTTTTATCCTTAAGAAGGCTCTAGTAACCATGACACTAGAGTTCTTCCCAAGTTGGAATTTGCCAAACATCCTCTAAACAAATGTTAAGTATTATCATAATGTAGATCAAAAGAGTTGTATTATTGAGAATGACCATGTGGTCTTATGAATCATAATAATTTATAGACAAGATAACAATTTTGTTCTTTTTTTTTTATATATGGTTTAATACGACTTTTCTTACATTTATAATTGAAGTTTGTATAGGATAACAAAATCAAACTTCTTCCTGTCAGAATTGATCTCAAACCTCTACTTGAGTATTGCATATTTTATTTTTAAAATAAAAATTAAAAAAAAGAAGTTGTATAACAAATATAATATAATATATTATATATATTCACTTTGTTTCAGTGATTAAAGTCACTAACTATTGTACTTAATGCATTTATTAACCCATTTGGAATACAAAACTGTTACATTGTAGGTAATGACATTCTTATTTCCTACATCTATATGAAGACAGAATATTTTATTTACACTCAAATTATACAGTGTAGGGCTCATGTTGGTAAACTAACTTTCAATGACTGGAAAAATGTAGTAAAAACAAAGGTAAGAACTCAAGTTTAATTTTAAAGTTATATGTGTGTAGAAGGACTACAAAAAAAGCTAAGAGGTGACAAAGAATATTTAAACATCACAGGTTTCAGAATGATTAGAATAAACACTCAGCATCTGATGCTCAGTCTCTAACCAAGGCAATGTTGTCAAAATCATCTGGCTCCCAATATTCTCCTGACCTATAAGATTTGAAAATAATAGAACTGATAAATTGTTTTCTCTGAAATGATTATTTTGAAAACAGAAAAAAACTGCTTGGTTGTCAATAGACTTATACGTTCATTACGTTGTAGTTACAAAAACGATACAGCAGTTGAAAACATGAGTACTAAGACACTTACGGTCTATACATGAAGCATATGTGTCTTAATATTACCTTTTGATTATAAGTAGGTAAATACATAGATCAGAATTAAAATACAATTGAATAAAGAGGATAGGTAATTAAATACATTGTTCTTATCTTTTTACATACAAACATTAAATGCATTGTTCAATCAGCTGAGTACCCCTTACCGTTAGCAAAATTTTTAGATGTAATTCCAATAATAACACATGAGGTTTGGCCAGCTTAGGAGACTTAGGTTAGTCTTAAATTCATATACTAAGATAACAAAGCGTAATAATCTTTATAATAAAAATGTCATTATAAAAAAATACAAATATATACATGAAACATTCTATTCAGTACTGTTAGAGAAAGTAAAATAAAGAAATAGTACAGCATACCCTACTTATGGAACACATAAACACTAGTAGTTTGCTTCATAAACTGTCATAGATTTAATATTATGGATTACATAACAGTGTTCATTAAGTTATATACAGAGTCAAAAATAATCCTGGGTGAGGTTATTAAAAACATATGCAGCCAAATGTGGTATTAACATCAAAGTGTTTATGATATGTAAAGTATTTGGTAAAAAATAAGTAAAACTGAAAAAAAAAAAGGAATTTTAACAAAACTGAGGTGAATGGAAAATCAAATTTTCATAGTTTTTTTCTGTTTTCAACCTTTGCTAGAGCTTCATGCTTCTTTTGCATTTGGCTTGCCAGCTACTTAATACATAAGAATAAACATTTATGAAAAACAGTTAAAAGTAGAAGGGGCCCTACTTAGTTTGGTAATATCCCAAATTGAGTGATCAGTATAAAAATAAATAGTTTAAAATCTCACACTCAATAATTCAACATTATTAGAGCTGAAATCATTTTATTTTTTAACATGTGAATCACCTTGGAGGAATTGATAATTTAGTTGAATTGGTTAAACTTTTATGTATTCTTGCTTAACCTTAAAATTAATGCTTATTGCAAAGAAACATTACCTGTATTCACATCTAGCCCCAGAGAATATACGCGGACATCGACAAACTCCTGGTTCAACACACTTCCCTCCATTCTGGCAAGATGGTTCACAAATGGCTGTAAGTACAACAGTTAAAAAAGTTTAATAAAATAATAACTAAAGAACACCTTTCACTGGAAAACTGCAAATATGTTTAGCATAAGACTGTAAGTAATTGTTTTACCTACTATAACATAGTTAAGCATTGTATCCAGTAAAATAGGAAACTTTTCCTAAACTGAAAATGTATTTCAGATAAATACTTACCTTCTCTCACAAAAAGCTTTACTGCCTTCTATTGACACAAATTTTTCGCTCCTCACTAGCCTTGTAACTACCACTTTTTCTGCATATCAACATGGAAATGATCATGCAGCAACCCTCCACCAATAGGAGTATGACACTACCCATATCATAACTAGTGCCCTCTCCAATCATACACTTGTTAATACTTTCGAGATTGGTCATAACTAAGTCAACCAAATCACACAGAAGTGGGAAGGATGGGTGGTAAATGTGAGAGGAGGTAAGTGTCTATCAGAACTACATTTTCAGTTTAGGAAAATGTTAATTTCTGATACAATACCTTACCTCTTCTCACGAAAAGCTAGAATCCCACATTGAACCGATGGAGGACTGGTGATAATATGATCCCAATATAGGTAGTACCCAAAGAAAGACCATGAGGTGAGGTAATGAATTAAAAACAACACACCAGTGGATGACTGCACCACTTCTGAGCCAGTTATACTTTTTGCCTTTACGAATCTGTTGCCAAAACATAAATGGTGGGAACATGGAGGGGTCCCAAACTAAAATACAGCAGTAATTGGACCCCAGGTGTCGAGTGCAACAGATCTTAAGTGGGAGTTTGACCTCAACCAATACCTAGCGGCATCTGGAATTTTACATCAGGTCCGGGGGAAGGAAGAGAGTCACCACCTTTCACCTCAAAAATGGGTACTGGTAGGGAAGATGAGCTTTCATATCAAGAACCTGTCTCTGCATATGCGCCACACCTCCAACACATGATCCACTGGAATTGACATCCAACAGATAGTAGGAAGGAGGAGAGCCCAGGTGGATGTTCATCTCCTGTCCAAAACCTGGTGGCATTGGGAATGTTTCATCCAGTCCATGGTAGGAGGAGAGTACCCAGCCTTACACAAGTGGGAAATTATGTGTCTTGTTCATCTACAACCAACACTAGATCCAATGGGAACCAACATCCAGTGGACAGTAGGAAGAGGGACTGTATTATTGGGTTTGCATCTCCAGTCCAAAACATGGCAGCAGTGACAATTTATCATCAAGTCTACCATGGGAGGAGGGTACCAGCCAAAAACAAGTGAGGACTTATGTGGCTGGACTGTCTGCAACCAACACTTCATTCACTGGGAACTAACACCTGGAGGATGGTAGGAAGGAAGAATGACTAAGCTAGAGGGGCAAACTGCAATATATATATATAAATATGGTGGAGTGCTACAACTAATAATTGGCAACATCTGGAATTGTACATCAGGACCACAGGAGGAAGGGCATCACACCATTGATACCAGCAGAATCCTACCCTCAAACTAAGTAATATTATATACCCTCAGGATGACAGGCCTTCATGGTCCACCAGCCCAGTGGCTAGTAACTGGTAAGTGACAAGGATTCTCACACTCCACTAAAAGAAAGGGGAAAGTGCATTGGAGAGTCCAGAGGATTGCAGCACTGGAAATAGTGCAATGGGTTACTACAATACCCTATTTTGAAAAGCAGAGTTACTGTGTCAATGGAATCAATCAGAAAACACCTGGCAGCACCTGGAATTGTACATAAGGCCACAGTAGGAAAAGCCTCAATGCCACAGAGCATCAGAGATGAGCAGTAATCCCTTTCTGCTTTACCCATGTAAGTCCAAGAGTGTACAGTCTGGAACAAACATATTTATGAAGGACCGTACTAGTCGAGAAAGCTCGTTTTGAGTGGAGAGAAGGTATATTGGAATGATATATATTTGTTTTATTTTGTTGCAGTTAAAAATATTGTTACAGTGGTTGAAAACATAGATATTACGACATTTTCAAAAGAATAAAATATCTAAGTAACACTTTTTACTACTTGTATTTTCACTTGTAATTCTTCAAATTATTGTACATAAAAGCTAAACCAGAAGTAATCATGTTCTGCAAGTAGTAAATCAGTGATGCATACAGTATATCCAAAGTGGTAATACATTTTTTTCTTAAAACTCACAAATAACTTTTTTAGTTGGTCAGTGCAAAAATGTTATTTTATACTTCTACAAGACTAAATATAATAATAACATGTTCTATTGCATGCTATTTTTGGTGAAATTTTTTTATAAACATAAATTAAAATATCAAAGAAGCTTTAAACTGATTTACCATAACAGTTCGGAAAATTCAGTACTGCTAAGAGTAACTGCAGTGACTAGAGAAAAATTATTTTTTATTAAAATCATTAAACTAATAGAATTAATGAAAAATTAAGAACTCTAACAATCCTCCTTATTCTCTATCATCTAAACTTGTATTATGTTAAAGTTATCAATAATGAATGTTAAGTAAATAGATCTCCATTATTCAATCACTAAATATGTTTTTTGTTATCCTGGAGACAGCCTCAAGTTAACAGATTATAAAGTACATGTTTAAGTAATAAAATGTAAGTTTAAAAATAGCCTTCATGATAAGCAAATACTGTAAATTATTTCATAATCACTTTACTTCAGAAAGAAAACCTTTAATAATCTGACACTAAATCACATATTTTGGCAGTTGTATTTTTCTAGTATATTACTTATTAATGAATACTACTACATATCACTAAATTTACAACTTTACTGCTGTTAGATACTGATAAATTATCCCTTTTTAGTGATTCATTTTTTTTATTAAACTTTCTTTTTGAATTATTACATTTCTTTGGATCTGAAAAAATGTTAAACTTTTATGAAAGTTATCTTTTGTTCTAATGATGTGTAACACACCACCAACCTCTTTCGCAGCGACTGCCAGTAAAACCTTGTCTGCACTGGCACATGTAAGGCCCTATACATGTTCCTCCATTCAAGCAAGGCAAGATACACACAGCTGGAAAGGAATAAATTTTATACTGTATCTCTATTAAGCTTTGTAAACAAAGAATTTGATAGAAAACTAAAATTATACAGTAGAGAGCACAGATTTCAAAATGTTTTCAATCAAAGTATTAAAGATATATATGTATATGACTTATTCAACTATAGTAGTTTCATCATTTCATAAAAAATTATTTAATCTATGATGTTAAAAGTCAGTGTTTAATAAAAGTTGCTGCTAAACACACAACTGCAAAATAAGGGTTCAAGCAAATTCATTGATAATTTTTCAGAATTGTAAGTAACTCAGGGAGATGATCAACTGCTCACCTTTGTATCACTAGATTAACCTTTGTCGATCATGATACTATACATAATCATACATTTTCTTATTGCATGCACAATAAATATTAGTGAACAATACCTCAATTTTGCAGATGAGAGTTAAGAACATTAGGTTACCAGCACCTACTATTTTAGAAGTTAAAAAACTGGATTTGAAAACAAATTCAATAGCATGCTGCTTTACAAAACATATTTTCTCCTGAAAGCACTAATAAGAACATCGAATTGTACTTAGGATTACACACAACAGTGCCTTGTACACACATATTTACACCAATATATATCAGTATTAACATACATATCACAAATATGAATGTGTGTGTGTATATATATATATTTATATATGTCTTCATGCATATACACATATATGAAAAAACAAATATATTGTGACTAAATTAATATCCTGTTTCCCTGTTCAGTGTTTTCAGTCCAATTAGTAGATTTATGTTAGACTTAAGATATGCAAAATTACACCTGGCACCCTGTAAAAAAAATATATAATTGGTAACAAGTTGATGCCATTTCTGAGCAAAAGAGTGTTTGCTTTTACTCCCTGATGATTTTGATGATGTTATTTATATTGTTTTTTTTGGAGAGTATTTGTATTTAGAGTAAAGCCATATTGGGCTATCTGCTGTGTCCACCACAAGGAATTGAATCCTGGATTTTTACGATGTAAGTATGTAAGCTTACCACTGACCCACTGCAAGACTTATTTATATTGAAAATAATTAGTTATTTGTATATTCTGAACAACAAAGTTACAAACATCAATCTGTACAGGGCTGGATTAAGCCTACTGAGGCCCCACAGGCTCAGGCTAATATATTCTTAGGGGCACACAAATGGAATTGTATGTTGTTTTCAAACATTTTCAAGGACAGTGGGGCTCCCAAGGCCTTTATAGACTGAAGGCTGCATCCGTATCAGCCATTGTATTAATCCAATACTAACTGTATAACACTGGTCTCACACCATTCCATGTTAAATTTAATTTAAATGATAAAGTTCATTTCCCTCTGAAATACCATTTCTGAAAGTCATACAGAAAACATGTGAAAAAGCAGAATTCCTACTTTTTTTTTCAGAGAAACATACCTTGTTGACAGAATTCTCCAACATATCCTGGTGGGCAGCTACAAACCCCTGGAGGTACACATCGGCCACCATTCTGGCAAGGCTGGGAGCATAGTGCTAGGTACAAGAAAGGACAGTACTAAAATTAAAATTACATACACTGTATAGTAGTGTTTTCATTCATTTCCACATGTAATGCACTCAGCAGAATTACTGACTACACACAAAATCAAGTTGATTCTTCTTAAAATAAATGACTGCATAAGACTTAATTTTGGAAAAAATTGATTGATGGCAATGGCGCTGATATTAAATTATAGTACAAACTTAGCTGACAATGGTCTGTTACAATTACTGGATACATACTTAATGCATCCAAAACCTGAATATACAAGTGACATTAGTGTGTGAATAAATGGCTGCAAATGTTTTTTTTTCTTTTAAGTAAACGTTTTATTGTCTGGTGTATCTTTGTTCATTTTACAGGTGAATGCCAAGAAAACATTGAGGTCTTCCAATCCTTTGTTTTCAAGCATATTGAAGATATCTATAAGTGAGCCAGAATGTACATACATACAAAGATAAATAAGTCATAGCTAAAAGAAGAAATTATGGGAATAAGCTTTAATTATGAAAATATGTGTATATGAACAAGACAATTGAATAGTGATAAAGTTCAGATTTAAGACATCTTTTCACACTTGAAATTTACTTACCTAAGTTGAATTAAAGCACTATGTTTACATATCTTATCCTGGGTATTTTTGTTTTTCAATAATTTTAATGATTAAAATTAAAGTTCAACACTTTTTCATGCAGAAAACTAACATATTCCAACACTGTAAATGTATTTCTGATAGATACTCACCTCTTCTCATATATAACTTTCCCGATTCAGTGCAAACCTCTGGATGTGAACTTTTTCATTCACCACTAGCCTTGAGGCTCCCACCTAATCTCACATGTTTCCAAATGATATTGCTGTACTGTTGCATGCAATGACAAACCTCCACCAATAGGAATGCAACATCACCTCTTAGTGCATCTGGTTCAATCTATGTTGATTTTTCAATCATCACTTCAAGATTAGACAAGAAAATAAGATGAAGTGGGAAGGAAGGGTGGGAAGTGTGAATGATGGTATCTATCCAAGATACAATTTCAGCATTGTAAAACGTTAATTTCCAATACCAATCATAACTTCCATTTTATATATATCGCTAGAATCCCACAATACATTGGTGTGGTATAGGGACCATGGAGTGTAATACCCTAAACCATGGCACAGTATAGGGGTACACCCATGGGAGATCACACCTTGTCTATATCAGGATACACTATTTGCCCAGAAAGGAGGGGAGGGGGAAAGTAGGGGTCACAAGAATGGGCAGAATGTACAAACACAGTTCTTAATCTGCATCAGGAAGTGATATATGTGTATTGTGGCTATGGCACATCATACTGTACATTGTGGGTCAACTACAATCCAGAAGGATGCAGGAAAGCAGAAGGGGAGAAAGTCAGAAGGCTGAGAAAAGGAAACCACAATTTGACCAACCAATAGGTGCCACCAGAAAAATGGTGAGTGAAAGTTAGCATATAGATGGCAGCACTGAATCTGAAAAGCTATATACGAGTGGATGTTATGTATCATATTGGAATATACCTTTTTTCTCATTAAGAATGTCAGCTTTAATTTAATGTTAAAAGTCTGTTCTTAACAGTTATGAAGTATATTATTACCTATTCTTACAATATGATATAATATTACACATACTGACCAACACAGTTTGGATTTCCACTCCAAGTACCATCACCAAGACAAGTCAGGATGGTTGAACCATTCAGTTGACTTCCTGGAGGGCAGCTGATGACCACCCGATCTCGATAGAAGTAGGAAGCACCAAGCACAATAGCTCCATCAGTGACTTGAGGGCGGCCACAGGCAACACCTGAAAGTACAATAAATGTAGTTACGTAAAAAATACAGCACTAGCTTTATCAAGGAAGATATACATTATTGTAGCAAATGTAAGAAAAAATTAATTGCATAAGCTGTTTTAATCATGTATTTTCTGTATTTGTATCATTAATGGTGTATGTATTTGTTATTCTAAGTTAGTACACCAGTGGAATTTAAAACAAAGGTGTATTTTGATTATAGACTAAAGTAAGTAGTTATTTTTGAAGTAGAAATTGTGATGATAACTACAGCTTTTATGTTCAGAACAAGACCAAGCAGTAATTTTGAATGTGCTGATATATTTTACACCATCAGATTGGAAACATTCTCCAACTAAGTATTTCCATATATATATGCTTAACAACACATTATAGTGTTGCCTTGTTATGCATAGTGAGGAAATAACTGAAAAAAGTATTTCTGAATGTCTGGTGAAAATAAGGATACATTATAAAACATCATTCAAGCAATGAACTTCATCAACATTTTTGTTTTGACCTAATAAAGGGTTACTGAAGGGTGGTACTCACTCTGTTGATAATAAAAATACATTAAAACACCCTTCAAATGATAATTTTTTTGTTTTGACTTACTAAAAGAGTTACTGAAGAGTGGTATTCTCTCTCTCTCTCTGGTGATAAAGAATTCAATATTTTCCCTACTTGAAAATGTATTTCAGAGAGATACTTACCTCATTGCACCATTAAGTGCTATTACCTCATCCACAATTGCCGTGAAATTTCCTGCACATGTCATTAGCCTTGAACAAACCTTCACCAATAAACATCTCTAAGTATATTGCAATAGGCTATGGCATAATCATCACAATACTGTAGCCCTCCACCAATAGGAGGGCAACATAACATCCATTCACAGTAATCCCTGTGAGCACTAGCCTCATTCTTGAAGAGGCAAAAACAAATTTCACCAAAGGTGGGGAAGATGGGTGGGAGGTGGTGTAGAGAGATAAGTAGTATCCATGTGAAATGCATTTTTCGGGTAAGGAAAATATTAACTTCAGAAATATTACTTTCTTTCTGCACCACTAAGAGCTAGAATCCCATACTGAAGATGGTGGAGTGGCTAGTTCTGATAATTTAAAAAGATGAGCTCCTTTCTGAAGTAGCAACAGAAATGGGAAAGCACATGGGGCGGGAGGAAGGCACCACTCACAGAGGAAACTCTTCATATCGACATCTCCAACAGCTTGGTACTAAGGAAGTAAAGGTTCTTCCATGCTGCACTAAAAGAATGAGGGAGAGAAATAAATGTGGGGGGGATACTGGAGAGTGTATGCAGACCACTGTTATCAGGCATGATCATTTGGAACTGGGTCCCCACTGAGAGACAGTGTAATGGGGGGTTACTATAGCTGAAGACAGCAAGAGTGAGCTTGGTGTAAAGAAAAAACTACACTTGGTGATGTCTATGTTATTTGTTTTTTTTTTGTAAAGGGTGTGGCAATTGCTACATCATTTTTACAGATATATCACCAAAGCAGTCTTGCAGAAAACTCCATCTCAACAGTGAGCATTGAGTACTGGTTTAATACTTTCCATACTCCCCCTGCTTTATCTAGATTTCAGTTAAGTACTTCCTGTGAGGCAATGCTGGCCACTCAGAGGTATTCCATGACACCAAAGAAGGCATGTATTGTTTAGTTCATGAAGCTATGCTCATTCTGGTGGATTTTCCACTTCTTTTATTTTATTGTCATTGAAAAAGAATGGTACACGTATGGCAGTGCCACGAAATATCTGAGGGGCATAGAGATGAAACCAGAACATTGATGAAGTTGGAGATGAAATTCAACAATCAAAACTCACCACACTAGAGCCTCTGGGAAGACTGAAGAATGACAATAGGAGGGAGTCAAAACACAGAGGCACACAAACTGCCCAATGACATAAATAATAGGAGATGAATGTGTCAAGTGTAGACCACATACTCATCTGCAAGATATAATTTAATGGCTAGTATCTTTAGGGGGTGGATGCTAAAGAGGTAGTATTATACATGCCTTAGAAATAAAGAAATAACTTAAGACATAATTGTGTAATGTTTATTTGCAAGTAGAAACTTCATGTCATCCTTAAACTCATCATCAGAATAAGGAACTATTTTGTGTTTAAGGAGAGAATAGGTAAACCAAATCGTTTGAACATTATCTACTGTATAAATGTATAGGTAATCAGATGATGTAGCAAATTGGTATAATAATAGTTATGATGGATAACATTTCAATAAAGATAACTTAAAATTGTTTTGTTAGTTTTTTATGTAAAAGAATTTATTCATCAATCAGATTTATTTCATAAAACATACACGTATCACATTTTTATTTCATACATAAATACAGCCTGGGAGAGAGGATTCAATGCAGGTTGAGAAAGCCATCCATGTGGAATCAAGGAGCAATGAGAAAGTGATTCAGCCATGGCAAGGTACCAATCTTTAATCATCTTGGTAATGATAAAGAGTCAGGAATGTGGAGTAGTAGATAAGATCTATAGCATCCACCACCAACAAAGAAGTCATTGTATACTGAAGACATTGAAGATGCAAAGAATGGGAGATGATTAAATGAAAGAAGAGGTGGAGTAGGAACAGAAACTGAAAAAGAATTTGCACAATCTAAGAGTCGCTAGAGTAGTAAGACCACAGGTGGGCAAAGATAGGCACAGAACTGAGGATCAGCTTTAAAGAAGAGTTACTACCAAGAACATAATTGGGTTGCCCTGTGTGAGGGGAAGTAACAAAAAGAAGCAACTGGAAAAGGAAAAGGAGAGGGATTAGCCTAATGTGACTCCCAAGGATGGGTAGAATACTAGTGGTCTAGTGAGTCAGGAAACCAGGGAAATTATACAAGAATGCTGTCAAGCAGCCTCAGCCTGTGATTTCAAAGAGTCAGGAACACCCACAAAGACCTCATCTGTAAGAAAATGGGCAATAAGTTTTGGCAATGGGTATTGCAAAGATCGCAGAAATAAGAGTAAGAAAGGCAGACATCCAAAAGGAAAGCATTCTGACTGAGAAGGTCCCCAAAATGAAAGAAAATGGGTTAGAACAGTGAAATTACAGAAAACACATGCTAAGGTGGCAAACAGATAAGAATAGGTGTCCCCTACAAAACTATCTGGGTCACGATGAAGAGATTTTGGTGAGGAAGTGAAAGGTTGGAGTATAGAATAAAGTTGTTGGGTAAAGGTAAGACAAAGATGAGTAGATTGCTGGAAAATAAGAAACAAAAGAAGGAGAAAGAGAAACACCCCAAGTGGATAGAAGGGGCTCAAGGACCTGGAGTTCAAGAAAAGTAGAAGGGTCATGAACAAAGGCCATAGAAAAGGAATCATGAAGATGAGGAGGATGAGGAAAACATTGATCAATGAGAAGTTGGAACAGAAAGGCATTGGCATGGGAATTAATGTAGGAGGGGGAAAGAAAGTTAGAAGATGGAGGTACATGAAGTAAAGGAACCCAAGAGTCATCAGGATTTACTGGTGAAAGAGAGATATAATGTCACCTAGCTGAGTAATGGGTATAGCAAACAAAGAAAGGGAGTTACCTGTTCCTTATCAGAAAGAGAAGAACAAGAAACAATAGCTGGAAGTAGACAAAGACAGCACAAATCATCTACTAGTGAGGCAGGCTCTACAGGAAATAAAATGAGGAGGGGGCCAGAAAAAAGAATGAGAGGAATAGAAAAATATGGGGAAAAGAAAGGACACAGCCGTGGAATAATGTCAAGAGAGAGTTTAGAAGGGTTAGGATTTTCTTCCTCAGGTAAAGCAGTGCCTGAAGCAAACTTTGGTGAAAATCATCGTCATCCTGGTCATGTTCAAACATGGGAGAAGGAATGTCAGCCAAATAGGCAGAAGGAGGAGGCCCAGCATGCATGTGAGAACCCACAACTCACTGAACAATGGCTGTTACATACTCTTCAGATATTGGGACTTCATTGGCCACAGTAGATACAGGTTCCATGTGAGTAACATCAGCTCCATCTCAGGACAAAGTAGAAGCCACCAGTACATCCGGTACATGAAAATTCATAGTGTAGGGTAAGCAGAAAAAATTGTTTTTAGTAAAATTAAGGAAACCAGTTAAACTTGAACTAAATTTAAGTTTCATAAGCTATCACAAATCTCACAGAAGTGATTAATAGTTTTAAAAACATGTCTGTTCAACACAATGCCAAGGAAAAGAATGAGGTTATTTCAAGTATACATGCTTAGGACAGCTACTGCATAAGGATGTTATGTCAGCCTTCCATTGGTGAAGGGCACTAGTGCAGTTTACGTTAAACACAGGTTTTTTAAGTGAAAGTTACCTCAAAGCAAGTGGCATGCAAATTTCATAGACTGATGCACAATGAATCAAGTTATTTGGTGTGGAGCTTTAAATGTACCATAAGAAATTGGGTCTTCAAGATAGCTGTTAACCAAAATCTCACACAAAATGACTGAAATGTGTATATTTCATGTGTACTACAGAGCATTCAATTATGAGAATTTACTGATATGCATTGTACGAATAAACATGTTTATGTTATGACTCACGTTTACAGCCACCAAAGTGATCAGTCCAAGATCCATCAGCCTGACAGTAAACAGTCAGTTCTTTTGTTGCCCTATAACCAGGTTTACAATGGAAAGTTACTTTATCCTTGTACGTGAAGTCCTCCTTATATTCCAATGGAATGATATGTGCTGGAAAGCGTGGAGGTGGACAGGTAACCACTGAAACATATGATATTATATAGATTGTACTTTTCCACAGGATATTGCATGTAACAAGTATTACAAAAAGTTATTTGTTTCTCTTATAGTTTTGAGCTTCAAAGTTATTACAAGTAACCCACAAGTTTTGTGTGATATTATGTTGAATATGAGTCAGTAAGCTCAAGGTTTAGAAGTATAATTATGATAAAGTTTTAAACTGTTTTCTTCTTTTTTACTGGTGTAAACAAAACAATAAGAATGTAACATGCACAAAGATTCATCAAGTTTGGTTCTATGTGATATTAAAATCCACATTTATATATTTTTATAGTTTATCACGAATAACCAAACTTAATTTAAGTTATCAGTGTGTGTGTGTGTTATACACAGAAAGGGAAACCAACTCAACAATGTATATTATCAAACAAACATTCTACCTTTACACACTGGTAATTCTTTGTTCCATGTCCCATCAGCAAGACACTGCGAAGTTTCCGAACCATAAAGTATGTAGCCTTCTTTGCATAAAAACTTTACTCGTGCTCCAAAATGACTGCCAGATTCATCTTGAAGAATGAAACCATTCTCAGGTGGTTTTAGTGGCTCACAGAAAACACCTGAATGATCAGTTTTAAATAGAAATTTCAGTTTTTGTCTTGACACTGTCATTTGACTAAACAGTATAATTGACCATGGCCAGCCCAGTTAAAAACATCTTTTACAAAAAATTGTAAACAAATATATCTTCAATATTTAATTAATTCTAGTAATGTTAACATTTTCTTTACCTGAAAATGTATTTTTGATAGATACATACACCTCTTCACACAGTTAAGCTATATTCCCTGTGCACTGGCCTTAGAGATTTGCAGGCCACTAGCCTTTAGTGAACTTCAATCTCATCTCACGATATTTCTCTTGAATTGAGATACTGCATAATTACGTCATTATGCAGCAAAACCGAGAGACCAATAGTTAAATAAGAAAATGTGCACTGGAAATGGGAATGATAGGTGGAAATTTGTATAAGGAGGTGAGTATCTATTTGGAATACATTTTCAGGTAAGGAAAATGTAACTTTGAAGACAATACCACACCTCCTCACACAGTGAAGCTAGAATCCCACTTTGAAGTCACCTGAATGAAGCTCATGGAGTGTGACACCCAATTGCAGGGGCTCTAAAGGGGCACACACACCCATGGGAGACTGCATCTCATCTCTTCAAAGGTATACCCTTTGTGTGGGAAGAAGGGAGGAAGGGGCAAACAAGTTACAGGTATGGGTAGAATAAGAACATGGCCTTCCAAGTACTTGAACACAAGATGTAAGAGAGCCTATATGTGTGTTGTTGTAAGATTGTATCTTGCGTGCTCACGTCAACTCTACCAGCAGACGTTATTGAGCTAACACTGTAGGAGAAGGGCACAGTATTCATGCACAGATAGGGGTATGGTGTGTGCACATCTTGACTCAATAGAATGGACATCAAGTACAGGAAGTAGACATGATTTGGTAGTGCATACTTTCCTCAATTCAAGTGAAAAGGTGACATCTGCAAGAGGAAGGAACATATGCATAGAGTGTGCTCACCTCAACTCTACTGAACAGACACGACTGCAGGATGAGGGTGTGGAATAGTGGTGTATGCTCACCTCAACTCCACTGGACAGTTGCACACTGCAGAAATAGAGAACAGTACTGTACTCTTTACTCACCTCAACTCAAATGAACACTCAGGCCACAGAATAAGGGCACAAATGGCATGTGGAATAGCTATACAAGAAATGACCTGCACTACATTGATAGTGTCACCACTGTCCCACTTTCCATTGTATTGGCACCCCTTGTTCTAGTCCCAGTGGTTAGGTCCCAATCAGTGAGGATTCTCCATGGCCTACTACTCCACCAACTAGGAAATGGTTAGTGGCAAGGATCTTCTGTGCTCCACTTAATGAGAAAAAGGGTCCAGATCTTCAATGATACTTCATTTCAGATATTTTTTTTTTACTGTAGACAGTGCGATGGGTGACTATGTAACCCTATTGTGAAAAGCCAAGAGCCAGGGAAGTGGGCAGAACACCCTTTGGTGCTGGTTTTATTCATGATGGTCTATGGAATAGTTACAATCTGTCTCAGACAACAGTCATATACAGAATCCACCATTAGAATATCACAAGTGCCCTTGCAGAACACTCCATCTCAGATATATGGAGCCAGGGCAGATGGTATGAATGATTTCCGTTATCCTGGCTTGATACAGATTTGGGAAAATAAATATACCCAGAGAGGCACCACCAGCCACCTGGTGGAACCCCATAAATGAAAGCTGTATAAAAACGGAAATGTACTCACCTGTCTAGAGATGGTGGATAGACTGTAGAATGGCAAATGGTAGCAGGCAGTAACCTCTAAGAGATGAGACTGCTAGATGGTGAAAATAGTGAGCAACAAAGGTGTGTGGAGTTAGCCCAAATACCCACCCGAAGGATGTCATTCAGTGGCCATTGGAAATGAGCGGTGAAGGAATGAATGAGGTGATGAACCAGATGGGAAAATGTGGAACAGTCTGTGAGCATCAACCCCCCAATGAGGAGTAGACCAAACATAGAAATTGACAGACCCAACCTGTAAGATTAAAAAGAGAGATGTCCCTGGAAGAAGAGGAATCCCAAGGAGTCAAGAGTCAGTGATAGAAGCCTTGGAAGTATGAAGTATGAGATAAGTAGCAATGAATGACACTGACAGAGCATACTAGTCAGTCTGGGTCTTTCAATCACAGAGGTATGAAACAGAATGAAGGGAGATAGGAGAGAAATAGCAGCTACCTTCCTAAGTAGCCAAAGTCTTAGAGAGGAAGGACTGGTCAAGACAAAGACGAATATGAGAGTGATGGAACGGAAGAGGGCAAGGAGGTCTATGGGCAAGAAAGGAATGGAACAAGGTGGTGGGAACTGGGGAGGAAAATAACCTGTGGTATCAAGAAAGGATAAATGTTGTGAAAAAAGTCCCTGATAATCAGCAGTGGTGGAGACTGCTAATCTATGTTCAAACAGCCATGCAAAGAAAGTGGAAAGATGGCTGACAATAGGGCAGTCAGGAGGACGTGGATGACATGTGGACCAACAACAAAAGACACATCACTTACATTGGTAGATTGATATAATAGAAAGGCAACAAGAATTAGAAAGAAGCTACACAACTGGAGAATGTGGTCTATGAGTGCTGGACTGGACAAATAACAAACATGAAGGTGGAGGAACGAGATTCTTGATGTAACAGAAATGTGTGAGGTTCAATCTTAAAAGGGTATCAGAGGAAGAGGGGTCAGGTTGTTAGGTGGCACAGTAGAGGGAACAATGGTTTAGCAAGCCAGAAAGCGATCACCAAGAGGACACAAAAAGAAGTGTCACGAATCAAGGCTAGGACCTGCAGTAAAAGACAGAGAGGTGGGTATAAATAAAGGAATAGATGAGAGCAGTTTTGGCTAAAAGCATCGATGGCCAAGGCCTATGGATTAGGAACAGGAGACCAGAAGAGAGGAAGCTTTGAATTGAGAGGCATGGCAAAGGCATCAATACATGTAGTCCCAATAGGGAGCCCACCAAATGGAAATATCTGAGAGTGAAGAGACCATTACATGAGAAAAATGTGTTCTGAACAAAAGAGGTGGTCTGCAACCAGGTTAATAGCATCTGGAATACAGCAGGGAATGAGATGAACCCATTGAGAATTGGCCCAATAGAAAAGGTACAGGGTTTGAAAGCAAAGGGGTTTCAATCAAATATCCTCTTAGCAATTGATACTGGAAACAAACATGGAGTTATTCGATTTGATTCTAACTAAGTGGCTCATTAGGAGGGGTAAGAAATATTAACTTGCCTGATGGACTGTCAGAAGTTTGAGCATATTCATATGAAGAAAGCACTCATCCAAAGTCCATGTGGCAAATGTGAGATTGTCATTTAGAGATGTTCAACAACCAGAGAGGGATGCATCAGTGAAGAGGTCTGATTTGGGTAGAGATAATGGAACACCATGGATGGCATTGGATTGGTCCAGCCACTGAGACAGATCACTGAGTAGAGGAGGAGACAGGTGAACAGTGAGGTTAAAGGTTCCCATAAGAGGTCCCACTGGTAGTGCAAGGACCATTGGAAAAGGTGCATATGTGTGTGACTCAAATGGGTAAGCAGTTTCAGTGAAGCCATAGTACCCAAAAGTGATAAAATGTCTTGTGCAGTATGAGAAGGAGAGGTGTAAATCTTGGTGGCCAGTAGTTCCTGAGCTCTCAGGCAGATTGGAGAAGGTTAAGATAGCTGAGAAAGGAGTTGAATAAAACTCCTAGGTGAACAAGATTTTGAGTGTAAGTGAGGAAAGATTTGAAAGTTTCCCATAGAAGAAGGGAGGTATAAAAGAAGGACCCTTCTTAGGAGTAGGAAAGGAGAAGCCAATTGTCCATGTAGAAATTGCAGTCCTTGTCTGTTCAGATGGTGAGTAAAGGCCCTGAAAATGCAGTTGAAGACAGAAGGGACTGACAAATGCTGAACAGAAAAGCTCAAAACTGGAAGATACGATCCTAATGGATGAAATGAAGGAAATGTCATAAGGACACTGAAATGGGGATATGCAGAACACATCTGAAATGTTGACATTGGTTATCCACACTCTAGGTGAAAGTGTGGAACAACCAGGAAGCAACTGAGGGAGCAAAAGATCGATAACTGGATGCCAATCCCAAGCCTTTTTAGGAACCATAGAGAGACAAGAGTAAAACTCTGGAGATGCGTTCTACATCCTCTCTATGGTGTGCTTGTCCAGCAAGTCCAACAAAGCCTCCTCAAGATGTTGTAGATAGATAGACTGATAGAGAGGAAAGGAAAGAGGATGAGAATTAAGAAATGAAGGGGAGATAAATGGAGAAAAAGTTCATATTACCTAGAGTAACTCATCTGTTGATGGAAAAGTGTGACCACAGGTGTGTAATCCATGATAGACAGGCCCCACGGGACCAGACCCAATGTGGTACTCACCAAAAAGCTTAGTGGGTCTAACACTAGGTAGAAGAGGAAGCTGGAAAGTGGGAATCAAAAGATGGAAAACAAAAAGGGGCTTGGACAATGTACAAAGGTGGAGGAGGATTGGGACAATGTGGAAACTAAGGATAAAAGTGAATATTGATTATAGGAAACCTCTGCCTGTGATTCAATAGAAACAGAAATAATTCCAAAATCTTCAGGGCAAAGAAAGACACAAGGCAAAGATTCTGTAAAAATAAAGAATAAAATCAAACTTGGGAAAGGAGAGTATCCTTACCCAACAATAGAGGAGTCAAGTGAGCAGGGACAGGGCAGAAGAAGTGGAATTGGTCAAAATGGAAAAGAGAAAAGAATGAAAATTCTCAGAAATATCATCAGTGGTAGGGTGGAATGCCTTGGACATGAAGTGGAGAGAAAGGAGAGATAATGAAGCATGGTAAGAAGGATCAAGTGAAGACAGGAGTATTGGGCACTGGAAAGTGAAACTGATGCCAAAGAGGGATTCCAAATTTTGGGAATGAAGAAAGTGGAATTCAGAATGAGGATATAAGAATCAGATAGACTTGAAGAACAAGGCATGAGATTACTGAAATGTAGTTGGTCAAGAATAGAATAAGTATGAATTCTAATTTCAGGAGGAGTAAAAAATAAAATGTCATTAAGGTTTGGATTATGAAGGAGGAAACGAGAAGAGTCACATGACACAAGGGAAAGAGAAAGAACGATACATACCTGTGATATTAGGTTCTGATAAACCTAGGAAGTTTGAGAGTCTTCCTCAACCAGAAAAGGAAGTTCCAAAGCTAAACTGAATACGAGGAATAGAAACACTTGAAGAAGGAACGAGAGCTAAAGATACTGATTGCATAAGGGGACCTACTACCCTATGTACAATAGTTGTAATGTCATCCTCAGTCAATGCATATCCAGAAGCCATAGTTGATACATAACCTGTGTGAAAATATTCTTCACTCACACAAGTAGTAGTAGATGTCACATGAACTTGTGAGTTCAATCTCGTTAAATTGAAGAGACAAAAACACATCTGACGTGTTCGGTGCCAAGACAAAATGAAGATTTGAGTGTAATTGCATAGAGGAAATTAGTGCACATGGAGGTGAGTTGCCCTTCTATTCGTGGAGAGCTTTTGCTGCATAATGACATCATCATGCAACAGCACAATTCACGAGAAATCTCGTGAGATTAGGTGAGAGTTCACTAAAAGTTAGTAGCATGCAAATCTCTAAGCCAGATGCACAGGGAAGATAGCTTAACTGTGTGAAAAGGTGTGGTATCGTCTTGAAATACTGCTGAGGTTTTCTATGTATTTTACACAGAAAATGAGTAATTTCATCAAATTGTTCTGCCTGTTATTTACAATGAATGTTATAGTAGGCAAAAATAAGAAATTGTTCAATATGGTGCTACATGTGGACCCAACTGATAGTGAATGATTTACAAAATGAAATCTGTCACTGAATGGTTAAAAAGCTGTTCAAACAAAATTCTAAACTTTTATATTCATTGTCTAAACTAAATATGATGATTTTCTATTACTATCATTTATTTTATTTTAACATATTTAATTGCTACAGTTACAATAAAATCCTTTAATAGATATTGCTATCTATCTAAATGATGTCTAAAATAAAAGACATCACATATGATTCTGAAGAAGTACTTCTAATGTTGAAAGTAATGAGAAAAAAAAAGAGTGACTCACGCAGACAGACGGGTGTCTCTCCACTCCAGGTGCCATCTTCTTGGCAAAAGCTTGTATTTTGACCAAAATGTTGATAACCATCTAGACATCTATACAGCACAACATTCTGATAGGTAAAATATTCACCCTCCACAACTCCATTATCTGGGGCAATTGGCTTTGGGCAAGAGACTGGTACACACTTGGGGAGCTCACCATGCCATTCTCCATGCTTGTTACATACTACACTAGGTTTCCCTTCTCTAATGAAACCTCGTTGGCAGCTATATACAGCAGAACTACCATATTCAGAGTTAGGGGCCTCAACCTGGCCATATTCCACAGTAGGAGGGATACCGCACGAAACTTTTACACAAGAAATACTGAAGAGAAAAACATACAGTGGTACCATTGAAAACATTTGCAAAGAATATAACTTTGCTGAACAGCAATTGGAAGTTTTGTGTTTTAAAAATACCACTTATAAAACACAAATTTAATTAAAGTAAATCCTAACTTTCATTCCATATGACTCAGAATATATCAGCATTTCTATGAAAAGTTTTTTAAATTCAATTTGCTTAAAAAGCAAATAGGTATTTCAGAAACAACAGATATATATAGCATATAGAATATTAAACATACTTTACTTTGATGTCTTAAAGGGGATTTTAATCCTGTTTTAGTAAATAACTATTTCTTTACTAAATTAATAAACCTGGTTAGAAATGACTCTAAAGAAATTTTATTTGGATCATAACTCTACCATATATTACATTACAGACTATTTTTCAATCATATAAAAACACTAATTTTGTCAGTAAATGTTTTTAATTTTTTCAACTGTTAAGGGTAACTTTTTCATTAAAATGTTAATGATCAATTATGTATTTATGTAAACTATAAATGAAAACAATATATTTGAAGTCCATCTTTTAGTACTAATAATAGTAGTTTTCTTTAGAATCTTTTAAGTCAATCATGATAATCCTGTAGCATCAAGCAGTACCTAAAATATTATTTCGTAGAAAATCAATATATTTTGCTTGGGTTATACAACACTAGTTATTCCTGATATGCTTCAAAGAGAAGGAATTTGACATTTATCTTTATTTTCTCAAATTTTCCCAGTATACTCCTAATGACACCTAGTATTTTTCTGTAACTGCATTACAACAATATTTTGAAAATTGTTTTTTTTGTTTTTTTTCTACAAGGAGACATTACTTTCCTATTTTATCATATTTTAAGGCCTAAATGTATAAGATATTGTAGTTGTGTTGGTCTTATAATGCAAATAAAAATATTTGTCATTTGCTTGCTTACTTTTGAACTTTCCACTCTTTCCCACTCATGCACTGATGGGTCTTTTGTCCATGAACTGTATACCCATCATTACACTCATATGTCACTTCTGTAAAACCATCTTTATGTTCAACATGGATTGTTGCATGATGAAGAGTTGGTGGTGGACCACACGGAACACCAACACATTTTGGACGGCTACCTATCCACTTCCCATTGGACTCGCATACCAATACATTTCCACCTTGCAATTCATATCTATCCTCACAACCATATAATACAGAACTTCCATACTTGTGTTGAGGTCGCTTAGAGTCAAGAAAGTATAATCGAGAGTGCGGAGGGAAAGGAGGAGGTCCACAATCAACCAAGATACATAAAGGAGGCTCTCCATCCCACTTGCCATTTTTTTTACACTTTCTTCTTGCTTTACCCACCAGTTCATATCCAGTCTCACACTTGTATTTTACAACACTACCAAGTTGGTAAGGCCCCTTCTCTACTAATGCATGTTCTACAGGATCTAGTTCATCACAGAGATAGCGATGACAAGTTGGTATTGAATCGGACCATGTTTTATTTGGTCTACACATAATTTTATCTACTCCTTCAAGTTTGTAGCCTGGATCACATCCAAATTTGATGACTGCATTTAACATAAAATCAGATCCATGAACTTGCCCATTGCTTAAAGACACAATTGGTGAGCATGAGATAATATTACAGCTGGGAGCTTCATGACTCCACGTGCCATTTGCCTGACATGTCCTCTCCCCAGATCCTTGAAGTTCATATCCTTCCCAGCAAGCATACTGAACCTTGCTACCAAAAATGCTAGCACTTGGAAATGCCATTCCATGTTCTGGTGGTGGAGGGTGAGGACATTTAACTGGAGTACAAAAGGGGTTTTCTTTACTCCAGGTCTTATTAATTTGGCACGTTCTCTTTTCTGGTCCCTCAAGTTCATATCCCACATTGCAAATATATTGCACTACTGAGCCAAACTTGAGGTCTTTCACAATTACATGGCCATTTTCTGGATTAGAAGGATGTGGACATTGAATGGGAATACATTGGGGTGTGTTTTCATTCCAGGTTTTATCTGCTTGACATTTTCTTCTGATCAATCCCTGTAGCTCATATCCTTCATTACAAACATATTTCACTACTGAACCAAAAACGAGATCTTTTACAAATGCATGACCATTTTCTGGATCAGGAGGATGAGGACATTCAATAGGAGAGCAATGTGGCATTTTCATGCTCCAAGTTTTATCAGCCTGACAAGATACCTTTACTGGGCCATAAAGTTGATATCCTTCATTACACATATATTCTATTGTAGAACCAAATATAAGATCTTTCACAGTTACACGACCATTTTCTGGATTAAAAGGTTGAGGACATTCAATCGGAGAGCAATGTGGCATTTCATTGCTCCAAGTTTTGTCAGCCTGACAAGTTCGTTTTATTGAGCCATGAAGTTCATATCCTTGGCTACAGACAAATTTTACTTCAGAACCAAATGTAAGATTTTTAAGAATTGTATTTCCATTATCCAGGTGAGGAAGATGTGGACATTTAACTGGGAAACATCTTGGTTCATCATTGCTCCAAGTTCTATCTTCTAAACAGGTTCTCTCTTTTGGACCATTAAGTTCATAGCCTTTATTACAAATATACTTGATTGTTGAGTTGACTTTGACATCTCTGACAATTATATTACCATATTCTATATCAGGTGGATGAGGACATTGTATAAGTACACAGAGAGGGTTGTTTTCGCTCCATGTTTTGTCTGCTAGACAAGTTCTCTCTTTGGTTCCTTGAAGTTCATATCCCTTCTTACAAACAAACTTTACTACAGATCCAAACTTAAGATCTTTTAAAATTAGATGCCCATTTTCTAAGTCAGATGGATAACTACATTCTACTAGCACACACTGTGGGCTGTCCTTGCTCCATGTTTTATCCCCTAGACAGGTTCTTTTTGCTGGACCATGTAGTTCATAGCCTTGATTACATTTATACTCCACTACAGACCCATATTTTAGATCTGTTACGAATGAATGACCATTTTCTGGATCAAAAGGACGTGAACATTCTACCAGAATACAACGTGGGTTATCTTTGCTCCAGGTTTGATCAGCTAGACAGGTTCTTTTTGCTGGACCAAGCAGTTCATACCCTTGGTTACATACATACTCAATTACAGATCCAAATGTAATATCTCTTACAATTGCAAGACCATTTTCTGGATCAGGTGGATGTGGACATTCCACTAGAGAACAAATTGGATTTTCTAGGCTCCAAGTTTTATCAGCTTGACAGGTTCTTCTAAATGGTCCAAGTAGTTCATATCCTTTGTTACAAACATACTCAATTTCAGACTTGAATCTGTTTTCCTTTAAAATAACGTGACCATTTTCTGGATCAGCTGGATAAGGACATTCAACTGGTTCACAAATTGGTTCCTTATCGCTCCAAGTTTTATTTGCTAGACAAGTTCTTTTTTTTGCACCATGTAGTTCATATCCTTCCTTACAAATATAGTCTATAAAAGACCCAAAGAGAAGATTTCTTATTATTGTATGGCCATTTTCTGGATCAGGTGGATGAGGACATTCAAGTGGAACACATCGTGGATTATCAGTGCTCCAAGTTTTATCTGCCTGACAAGTTCTTTTACGTGGACCAAGTATTTGATATCCTTGATTACAAATATATTCGATTACAGACCCATATATCAGTTCTCTTATAAAAACACGACCATTTTCTGGATCAGATGGATAAGGACATTGAATTGGAATACACTGTGGATTGTTCCCACTCCACAATTTATCTGCCTGGCATGTTCTTTTTGTCTGACCAAGTAGTACATATCCTTGTTTACATTCATATTCAATCACAGATCCAAAACTAAGGCCTCTTACAAATACATGACCATTTTCAGGATCAGATGGATGAGGACATTCAACAGGAATGCATTGTGGATTGTTTTTACTCCAAGTTTTATTTGCTAAGCATGTACGTTTAGAAGGACCAAGTAGCTTATATCCTTGGTTGCAGACATACACAATTTCAGAATCAAATTTGAGATCTTTAACAACTGTGTGTCCATTTTCTGGATCAGATGGGTGAGGACATTCAACAGGTGTACAATATGGGAGGTTGTTGCTCCATGTCTTATCTGCTAGACAAGTTCTTTTTCGTGAACCATGTAGTTCATACCCTTGATGACAAGAATACTCAATTATAGACCCAAATGTTAGATATTTTATCAGTACATGACCATTTGTTGGATTTAATGGCCGAGGACATTCAATTGGAAGACACTGTGGATTATCTTCACTCCAGGTTCTATCTGCTTGACAAGTTCTTTTTGTTGGACCACTCAAGTCATATCCTTTATTACAAAAATACTCAACTACTGACCCCAACCTAAAATCATCTACAACAGCTCGACCATTCTGTAGATCAAATGGACGAGAACATTCAATGGGAATACACTGTGGATTATCTTTGTCCCACGTTTTATCTGCCTGACAGGTTCTTTTTGATGGACCATGTAGATCATATCCTTTGTTACAAAAATACTCAATTACAGAGCCAAATCTAAGACTTCTAACGACTACATGTCCATTTCTTGGATGTGATGGATGTGGACACTTAACTGGAATACAGAGTGGTTTATCTTTGTTCCAAGTTTTATCTTCTAAACAAGTTCTCTTTGCTGAACCGTTTAGGTAATATCCTTGATTACAAACATATTCAATTACAGATCCAAATCTAAGATCTCTTCCAATTGTATGGCCATTTTCTGGGTTAGATGGATGAGGACATTCAACTGGGATACAGTGTGGCTTATTATGGCTCCAGGTTTTATTTGCTTGACAGATTCTTTTTCCTAGACCATGTAATTCATATCCTTTATTGCAAACATATTCTACTACAGAGTTAAACTTTAGATCATCTACTATGGCACGTCCATTTTCTAATTCTGATGGTTTGGGACAAAAAATAGCCTCACAACTAGGTTCATGATGGGTCCACTGTTGGTCCATAAGACAAGTGCGCAAAGATGGTCCAACTAGCTGATAACCTACATTACACTGGTAAGTTGCAGAAGATCCAACAATTAGTTCATTTAAGATGATCTGACCATGTTCTGGATTATTAAGGGGCTTACACTTAACTGCTATGCAAACTGGTTCCTTACCACTCCAAGACCCTTCTTGAGTGCATGTACGACTGACATTACCTACTATACGGTAGGCAGAGTTGCATTTGTATGTAGATGTTGCTCCAAACCCTAGAGAGGTCCATGTTACTTCTCCATGTGAGATGACTTGAGGTTTAGGACACAAAATTGGCTGACAGGTGGGCTGGCTAAATGACCAGGAGCCATTAGCCAAACATTCTCTCAAAGGTGGACCTATTAGACGAAATCCTGTGGCACAGGCATATTTTACACGACTTTGAAATACTGTACTGGTAAACTGTGTCTCACCATGCTGTAGTAATGTAGGCGGAGCACAAGAAACTGGTCTGCAAGTAGCTGGTCCACCTGTCCATGTCCCATCTTCTTTACAGGTTAAAACTCTGTCACCATCCAACACATATCCAGGTTTACATCTGTAAAGAACTCTATCACCATAGTGAAAAACATCTGTTCTTGATTCTTCTAGGATCATGCGGCTATCCACAGTGATATCCCCTCGTGGTCTGTTGACTGACAATTCTGCTCTCTCCAGAGGCTGTGTATTCGAAAATGTAGGTTTTGCCAAGACCACAATATCACCATGCTGAAGTGAACTTGGAATTGGACAGGAAACTTCCTCACAAACTGGAGGTTTTGAAGACCATAACCCATCCTCTTTGCACTGTAAAATATTATACCCATGCAGTTGGTATCCCCTGTCACAAGTGTATGTCACATTCGCCTGGTAATGAAAGTCTCTCCCATACCATTCACCAAACTGTATGGTCAGTGGTTTGGGGCAAAGAATAGGTTTACATCTTGGAGTTTCACTGCTCCAAGTGTTGTCAATCTGGCAGGTACGATTAGACTCCCCAACCAGTACATAGCCTCTGTCACAAACATATGTAATAGTTGTTCTATAATGGTAGTCTGTAGCAATGATTTGACCATGGGGTATGTTCTCTGGTCGTGGACAAGTAGTACCAATACATTTAGGAAAGTGTCCACTCCATTCTTCATTCTCATTACATTCTAGAATAGAATCCCCAATGAGCTCCCAGCCAGAATCACACAAATATTGGATTTTGCTTCCAAATTTGTAATCTTCTCCTATAATTTTACCAAACAATACAGATGGAGGGGTTGGGCAAACTACAGGCTCACAAATAGGAAAAGTGCCTTCCCACTTTCCTTCTCTGTTACACATTAATGGGCTAGAATAAGAAGCTAATAGCTTGAAACCTTTGTCACAAACATAGTGAAGAAGAAAACCAACAGGGAAGTTTACTGTCTGATAGTGAGCATGTGGAATGTCTGGTGGTTGTACACACTGAATTTCTTCACACTTGGGATTTTCACCAGTCCAAGACTGGTCTGCTGAACATATCCTTATATGTTGCCCTACTAGGTGGTATCCCTCCTGACACTGGTAATGAGCCTGATCTCTGTAATGTAATCCAGTGAAACGTACGTGACCATTAATGGGACCTCTGATTTCTGGACACGAGACAGGATGACACTGAGGTTTATCACCACTCCAAGTCCCATCTGGTAAGCAAGTTCTTTCAATCACTCCCTCAAGTCTGAATCCATTGTCACATGCATACTGCACTTTATCACCATACCTAGAATAGCAAAGCATTTTTGAGCTGATTAGTGACAAATAATTAGTAACTATATTCAAAGTTAAAAGAGCTATATGTGATGGTTGCATTGCAGTGTAAATGAATTTAAAAAAACAAAACATTTTACCTTGTTTTATCGATTTTGTTACAACAGAAAAATGCACCATACTGCAAAATACATTCTGATATATTTTACAATTAATAATTTAGGTTTTCGAATAAAAGTTATTATACTGTTATAAACCTTTATGTATTATTTAAGTTATTGTAAGCAAACTCAAATATTTCCACAGTTATATTATTTATGGATGATAACCCCTTTACCACTAGTAATATGACAATTCTTTCCAGAGTACATATATCTTCCATACTACTTGCTTCTGTGTTATACTTGATAAACTGGGTAACTAACAGTAGAAAACACACCTGTTTAGATATCTAATACTGATTATTTTCAGTATACTTACCAGGCAACATAGATAAAAAATTATCAAAATAACAAAAGCTTTGTATAGAATAGCTGTTAAAAAAAATGTACACAAAGAACTTATTAACCAATGTGCACAGGTCAGTCAGTTGGGCCAACCTCATTTTGGGAAAGGAAAGTGGACTATAATTCTGAATCTACTATGTGTATGTACAAGAAATGTGGCAAGTATTTAGTAAAATGGACAAATCTGTTGTAAACAAAAATCAGATAAGTTATGAAATTATTTATGCTAAGGATATGTTTGTAAATTGATGACATCAGTCTGACTCAGACTCTGACAGATTGTAGTGCAATTTAATGTTTGTGAAGAATAAAAATACTTTTGCCCTTCTTACACTTTGCGTATTGCATTTGCATAGGCTGCTGCTTGGCCAGCATAGTGTCTTGATCCTCTCCCTTTAAAGATAGTCCTTCACTTGAAGGAATAAAATTGAATATAAGATATCCTCACATAGAGTGGAATTTCCTCTTTATTCCACATCTGTTGCATACAGTGCATGAATATTACAAACCTTTTTATCCCTGTGGCATGGAGCAGTCGTCTTGGAATCTGCACTGTCAGATCTATCAAAGTGGTCCAAATTGTTGGCTTTAATCAAAATTTTGGTGTACTTGTCACATTGACAGTGACTTTCACAAAATCCAGATGTCCCACACCCTGGACAGAGATGCATCCCAATATCACCTGACCCTGTGAATGCTTCAGAGTTACATTCAAACATGTTGGATGAAATTCTTCTCCACATCAATATCATACAAAGTGTTTCACATCAGACCCATGAAGGTTGAACTTTGATTCACCTGAAAAGATCATTTTGCTCCACATTGCTTCAATCCAGTCAGTAGGCTCTTTGGTTCAGTTGAGCATCATCTTATTGATGAGTAGGGGTTTCTTTCTTGGCCATTTTTCTTGGACACCAACTAAACACAGACAAGACCAAACAGTATACACAGTGACAGTGACCCCTGAAGTTTCCTGCCATGCTCCTTTGATCTGTGAGTGACAGTTAACAATTCTGCAGGCTAATGTGTTTCAGAACACAGTTATCAGCTGCTATGGAAGCTTTCTTTAAACCCCTTCCCTTCCACCACTCCACAACTAGTCTTTTATATATCTCTTCAGACATGTGGCTCACAGTAAAATAGTTAAACTTACTTCTTCTAGCAACCTGTATTGTCAAAAGTCCTTCTTTTCTCAAAGAAATAATGACTGCTTTTTCCTTGGGATTAACTTGCAACCTTTGGTCATGGTAGCATCACATGCATGTATTAGCAGATAGGATTCTAAACATACTCTTAATACCTCTATTTATAGGCAAAAAACGGCTGATGCAATACCCAGACAACCTATAAAACAGCTGATGTAATAATTAGACAGTACTGCATCATTCATGAAACACATTTGCACCTACATGCATTAGAGCCTCAAAACAGATTATGATTCCAAATAAAAAAGTGTGATAGAATTGGATGTTGGATTATGCAATCAATTTTTTCACCACTGCACTTGTTTTTAGTACATGAAACCAGTGGAACTTTAGTATATTTTTCTGTTAAATTTAAAAACTATTATTCAAGAGAGCATACAGTATGTTTTATTTGTTATGAATTAATAATTTATATACTTTAATACTGAGTCTCTACATCAAGTGTAGTGGCTTTGTTAAATCAGTCTTGACCACTTAATTCTGGCATTGTACAATCCTGATAAGTTATGCCAGAACAGACTTTATCTTATGCTGAAGTGTTGCTGGGTTTCAAAACTGGCATCAGCATCAGGAAGGTATAATCATTTTTCAGAGTAACTGGAACTCTCAAACATGTGTTGACTCTACAAACAATTGCCTCAGAACTGTGGTAAATGTGTATGAAGCCATCCAGTGAGAAGTTTCTTCATTTGTAAGTGGATGGAATGCAGAAAATTCACTGTAATGATGCAGTGCTATGTTGAGATTGAAAAAGGTTCAATTGAGAGGAGAGTCATTCATGTGCTGTTTTGTTTATAGTATCGATTTCATGAACTTCAAACCATAAAGGAGGCCTTTCTGTATCTTACAATGATGTTCAATAGCTTTGCTGCTGGTCAGAGATTTTGAACAACTAAAATATAGTGAAGTCCTGACCAAGAAGCCATGAACTCTTCATGGGTTCAACACAGAAAGCATGAACTTCATGATTTTGTTTATTTTTTCTCAGGAAAGTATCTCTTTATTTTGTAATAGGGAATGAAAAAAAAAAGTAGCGCTTGATGGAGTCCCTCAAATTCTTCCTGCAGCCAGAAGGATATTGTTAAGAACTCACATTTATGATGCCTATGTTGAAGCTACTGTCTCTTTAACATGGTTGAACATATTTTGAGGACATCCTTCTTCTAGTTGATATCCACTCTGACTCACAGAAAAATCCAATTTTCCTAATGAATGATAGCTTTGATCTCATCAAATGGATAACTGAATCATTGCCTATGTTGGTAGACCAACAAGACAAAACACTAACAGAAATGGATATTTCTTGGACCTACCTAAAGCATAGTATTTATCAGCATATTGGGAATGAAATCGGTCAATGTGCACTACATAATATACCATCAGAAATGGCTTCAACTGCAAGTGATTAATTTATGCTTACAATCCCATTGTCTTGAGGCAGATACAAATATGTATTTTAATTCTTTAAATAAAGTAAGAGAAATTTCCTGAATTCTAAAGCTGTAATATCTACTATAGTAGTATTGGATGCATGTTATCAGAGAGCTAGACTATTTATAAGTAATTATATGAAAGTAGTGAATTAACAACTTGCAGTAGTGAAGATTTCAACTACTATGAGAGATAGAAGTCAACTCATGAAAGTCTCTGATGAAGCTCTAGTCATTATGGACTTCAAGATGAAATTCAAGCTGATATACTTCTGAGAAAAGATAGTTGATCATTATTTTAAGATAGATGTAAATTGGTATGGTGTAATGGAAGAAGAGGCTCCAACTGTTACTGTAGTGAATAAGACATACTTTGACCATCTTTTGGAGAAGAGTAGTAAACGTGATTGAGATTCTGTAGTTTCGATGATGGAGACAATGTTGTTACAAATGAGGAAAGACCTGTCTTATGTAAAGCAGATTGTTGTACAGACAGATAATGAAACCTGATATCAAAATACTTTACTACCTCAGGATATCCCGTTGTTGGCTTACAGTTGTGGAATTCAAATCACAAGATTTATTCACATGGAAACACAAGATGGCAACACAGTGCTTGATGATCATTTTGAAAAACCAATGGAGTTCTGAAAACATGATTGAAGGAATGAAACAATTTTGCCACACTAAAACAGGGAGTTGTTGAACTCAAATCATATAACAGTCTCTCTAATACCATTGTGAAGCTGGTAGAAGGTGATTAAAAAAGGTGCTGAAACATGTGTAAAGCCTGGTGGGGTAACTCAAGTAGTTTTTCAAGAGAGTTAATGATAGCTTTGTCGTTTATGGTATACCAGTCAATGAGGCTTATGAACTCTCCAATGTAAAAGATGTATTTTCCTTTTGCTCTGACTTTTGCTTAAAACTGTTAGAGTATTCTGGAGAAGTTGATGGTCTTGTAATTGATATGAAACTTAGTCAGAGCAAGAGCATTTTGAAACCTGGACCAGTTCACATTGAAGATAACTTAGATGCAGGAGAGGAGATGAAATAGGCATACTAGGAAATGAAAATGGAAGTTAAAGGATTAGAGAATAGTGAAAATAACAGCAAGATATGGATGATGATTATTCCTTAGCAGATGTAGATAACCTGAGAGAGGAACTACTTGATCCCCAAGCAACATCAGATCCAATATCAAGAATTCGTGACAACTAAAAGACAAAAAAGAGGTAACAATCCTAGTGAAAAAACCACAGTGCATCTACTGCAGAGGAAGGAGCTCTTGATATTGGGATGGCATCCCAAGACATCATTGTCTATACATTATGGGAATCTCTAATGATAAAGCTAACAAATGAGCTTGGTTTGAAAGATGTCAGAAAGTAGACTATGTAGTTACACAGCAATTCTTCACAGGCTGAACTAGATGTACAAGTAGGGAGTAAGTAGCAGTGTTTTGATCAGAAATAGATAAAATGTTTGATATCAGTCAGGCCAATAAATCCAGCATGAAGGACCCAGGCCATAAGCTTGAGGAACTTTGAAAAAATCATCACAATAGGTTTGATCAGCTTAGTAAAAGCAAGATCTAGACAGAATAGAGATAGTAAAGCTCATAAGTCAGGCAAAAAGTACAGGTACAAAAAAAGTTAGAGTATAGGTGCTTTTTAGCACAGTTTGTGGCAAAAAGACCAAATATCAAACACAGGGAGGGTCTGGAAGCATACAGAGCAAGTTTTGGCACCGATGCTGAGGACTTATCTTCTGACAGCACGATCAAATTTGAGACAGAAGAAAAGTATTACTTACCACTTGATTTACTGAAAACAATATGGCAAACTACACCTTAAATACCAAACTTGTAGATTTAGCCGATCTCCACCCACCTAGCAAATTTGTCAGATATTCTCTATTCAACTCACAGGTGTAGTGTTAAAAATGTCTGAGAAACATTTGCAAATCATTTTAAATCTTGAGAAATGTATGGATAGTCAATAATTCTATAGTTTTGCTTGTTTGTTGGTTTTGAATTTTGCACAAAGCTACACAAGGGCTCTCTGCACTAGCTGTTCCTAATTTAGCAGTGTAAGACTAGAGGGAAGGCAGCTAGTCATCACCACCCACCGCCAACTCTTGGGCTAATCTTTTACTAAAGAATAGTGGGATTGACCATCACATTATAATGCCACATGGCTGAAGTGGTGAGCATATTTGGTGGGATGGGGATTCGAACCCGCAACCTGCAGATTAGGAGTCGAGCATCCTAACCACCTGGCCATTCTGGGCCAGTCTATAGATTTTCCTATCTAATATATGTTAAATGTTATTTACATGTTCTAAAAAGTATATATAAAAAAAAGTTCATTAATTACCCCAAAAGTGATTATATATCAAATAACAATAATATTTGAGTTTATACACACCATTCAGTAGTAGTTGTTATATCAACAGCAGACTGGTAAGAGTTAATTAATGAGAGTATTTTGCTGACAATACAAGTCAGATAGAAGTGTAACCCTAGGCAGCATTATTTGAATTTATTAATTTCTTAGAAAATACTTGATACTACAGACACATTATGATATATCCTCACATCTCTGCAACCAACGTAAACTCAAGTGTGTATGTACAGTCTGGTCAGGACCTGAAATATTTGCCAAAAACACAACATAATATTAAAGAGCAACAAGGGACCTTCTGGTCCATCTAGAATATCCTAAGCATTAAAAAACTTCAAAGCAGGCCTTATCATTCAAACATTTATCAAGTTTTCCTTAAGCTCCTTTAACTTAACTGCATCTACCGCATCCAAAGGCAACCTGTTCCAGAGACCAACCATGCTATTACAGAAATAAAGCTTTCTTAGCTGCTGATGACTCCTCTTCTGCAATAATATATATTTATGTCCCCTAGTCTTACCATTATCACCATTAAATATGAAATAAGACGATACATGAATACTATCAGTTCCCTTAACACCTCAATCAAATCCCCTCAAACTCTTCTTTTTCCAAGAGAAAAGAAAGTTCAGTGATCTTAATCAATCCTCATATGATAACATTTCCATCTAAGATATCATCTTAGTAGCCCTCTTCTGAGCCCTTTCCAACAAATCAGTGTCCTTTTAGTGGAAAGGAACCCAAGACTGAATGCAATACTCAAAATGTGGCCTAATCAATGACCGATACACAATGACATTATAACCTCTTTAAGAGTTGTATTCAACATTTCTATACATACAAACTAAAACATTATTTGCCCTGCCACTAACTATAGCACACTGCTTGGATGGGTTAAGAGACTGATCAACAGAACACAAAGATCTTTTTTTTTACATAACACTTTTGTTTGGTTGTTGTTAAGCACAAAGCTGCACAATGGGCTGTGCTCTGCCCACCAAGGGTTTCGCAACCCGGTTTCTAGCATTGAAAGTCAGCAGACATGCCCATAACACTTTGAAGGCTATTTCCATCAAAATTATACTTATAATTCAAATTATGATATCCCAAATGCATTACCTTGCATTTATTACAATTAAAATCCATTTGCATTTACTCACTCAACTCTCCAAATAATCCAACTCATTTTCTAAATTTAAATATTCTATTGACCATTCCTTCATCCATGTCATTGATGTAAATCAAAAAGAGCAAAGGTTCTAACACTGATCTTTGAGGTGCCTCACTCATGACATGAATCCAGTTTTACTGAACTCCATTTATAACAATGCTCTAACCAGTTTTCTATTCAATGAACCAATATAACCGCCACACCTACAGATAACTTTTAACAGGCCTTTTATCTAAAGCTTTCTGAAAATCTGGATACACCCAATCCACACCTGTACTCTCATCTATATAAGCATTAACTTCTTCAAAGAATGTCAAAAATTAGTAAGGCAAAATTTTCTCCTAATGAAACCATGCTGACTATCTAACAATTTTAAACTTTGTTAAATGACTTTGCAAAGCATATTGTATTAGACTTTCAAGCACTTTAGCCCCCAATGAAAAGAGGAGTAACATTAGCCAAATTTCAATTATCTGGCACCTGCCTACTATTCAAGAATGTACAAAGAATAGTAACAAGTGGCTCACATATCCAATCCTTAACTTCCTTCAAAATCCTTGGTAAATATTATTTGGCTCAGAAGTTTTCTTTACTCTTTCTTTAATTTCCCCAATTTTTTCTTAACAAGTTCAAAATTAATGTGATAATCTTTTCAAGTCTTGTTTTCACCTAGCAAATGTTCAGAATGTGGAATACTTCTTAAACCTTCACTGGTAAAAATTATTAGTGGTAAAAAGTGAGTACTACATCAGTGTTGCTACAATACCATTACCAACTTTTCACACTATATTTCATTGGATTGTGGTCAAGTTACAAACTGTCATACTCATACATACTGTTTCAATAATGATATCAAAGTAATATAGCTGCATTATTATTTGCTAATTCAATTAACCAACAGCCACATTAATCTCTTACTACACCTCAAACCATGGTATGTACATGCAAAAAAAAAAAAAAGGTTGGTGCCAGCTGCCTTCTGTTTAGTCAGCAGTTTAAAATTAGTGACAGTAACAGACAGGGTGAGTAAGTTGGGTTGCACTATTTTGATTACTTGAATAGTTTGAATATAGTAATAATCAGAAACCCTAATTTTGGCTTGTTGGCTATTTTCATAACAATTACTATAATTGGAATATCAATTAATTGTTTGCTGCAATAATCAGAAACAATAATTTTGATTATTATTCCCATCCAAATTCTACTTATAATTCAAATTATTATAATCCAAATGCATTTATTATAATTAAAACCCACCTGCCATTTATTTGCCCAACTCACTAAATGATCTAAATCCTTTTGTAAATTAGCAGCATCCTCTTCACAGCTAGCATCACCCAAGACATTAATATCATCTGCAAATTTAAGTAATTTATTGACTATTCCTTCATCTGTGTCACTGGTGTAAAAGAGTAAAGGTCCTAAGACTGAGCCCTGAGGTACCCCACTTCTGACAGTTTGATTGAACTCTATTTGTAACAACCTTCAGATAAAATTGCTACTGATGTTCATTATTATTTTTACAAATAAATAGCTAGTATGTATTACTCCCATAAATATATTAGAAAGTAAATATAAGCCTATAGTGGTAGGAAATACTTTTGAATGATAACAATAATGAAATGGGAATGGACTTTTACACAAAAGTAAAGAGGATCAATGACATTCAGCTTACATTTACGATAAGTAGCATTTCCTTAACTAGGTATAACTAAAACCAAAATGCATACCTGTGGTGGTCACCATACACTTGGCCATTAGTTGGATCAACTGGCTGGGAACAAGTAATCCTTATGCAAATTGGTTTTTCTCCATCCCAAGTTTTGTCTTCCTGACAGGTACGTGAAGAAACTCCTGCTAACTCAAAGCCAGTATCACAAACATATTGTATAGATGACCCCATCAGATAGTTTTCTCCAATAATTCTTCCATTAGGTATCTGTACATTCTCCACTGAACAACGCACTGGCTTACAACATGGTTCTGATCCACTCCATAGACCATCTTGTTGACAGATTCGTTCTTTTGGTCCATCCAATTCATATCCAACTTGGCAAGTATATACAGCAGTGCTACTGTATGTAGTATCTGGTGCTACTATTTCCCCATTGTCCACTGGAAGCAACTTTGAACACCTGATCTGCTTGCAGATTGGTTCTATGTCAGACCATCTGCCATCCTCCTGGCAAATACGCTGTACAGGACCATGCAGCTGATATCCTTCTTCACAATAATACTCCACAACTGAGCCATATCTGGTAAAATATAAAGTATGTGTTTTATACATTTTCTATTCAGATTAAAATGTGTCGTTACTGAAGCTACCAGCTTGTATCAAACAATCGGAATAGTTTCAGTTAATACAAAACTTTCATACATTGGTATATGTCTGCAATTCCAGAACAGAGTAAAAAAAGATTAAAATGACTGATTTGAGAAACAACAAGTTTGTTTCCTGTAAGTATTTTAACAGCATTTTAGCACTTCTTAAATTACTAAACTGTCTTTCTAGGCACTGGGGGAGCTTACAACACTTCTTAAACTCCAATACTTTGCCATTAAGGCAAACACATTCAATAATCTGAATCCACTCAAAGCAATAGACAGATTTTTACTGACAACAAGAATATATTTATTGTTACTTAGCTATAGTAAAACATATGAACATCAAAGAATGCCATAAATACCTATTGTAGCACTAACTATGTTATGTTATACCAGTCATAATGGCAAAAAAATAGCATTTCTGGAAACTTTAGTTACCATCCAGCTGGAACATAACAAAATAATGATGCTTACATTCTTTATCCTCAGTGCAAGTTTTTAACACATAGTTATATAACATTTTTATTGATGTTATGAAACATTTAAGCCACATATATACTTTGATTTCTTGAAGATTGATCTAGTTTTACTGTCATATCAAATTTTGCATTAAAAGTTTACTGATGAAAATTGTGCAAACCTGGTATTCGTGAAAAGCTTATTTGCAAAAGGAACAACATTAGGTTCAGGACACATAATTATTTCACAATGAGGTTCTTTTCCTTCCCAGTAACCATTGGCTTGGCACATCCGAACATTTTTTCCTTGTAGGCGAAACCCTTTAGGACAGATGTAACGAACAAAATCACCGTATTTATATGACTCCCCTTCTATCTTTCCATTTTCAACCTAGATGTGAGATGACATAAAGATTCATGTGACAAAGTTTCTCTATTTCATATAACATCAAACATTCTGTTTTTCTGTGCAATGGTCTTTCATTTATTTGAACTAACTAGCATCACATTTGCAGCAGTAAAAGAAAAACTTTAAGTTTAACTACCAATATTTTCATAACCTTTTTTGTTATTAGGCTAGTATGTATATTTCAAAACAGAAGTACATGAAATCAGAGAAATGTAATGAAAAATATCAAAATCTGAAAGCAAATATGATTTTTTTGCTTCATCACACAATGATGATTAATTTTGACTACTTTTCTTGTGACATAACAAATTCTGTTTTTATTATCTTATGGTTTTGCTTACCTTTCATTTATTATTCCTTCTATCATTTAGTTTACCTATGAATTTTGAGTTACATTAAAACACTAATTCACCTTCTAGCTGATCAAGTTGATTTTGAATTACGTATGTATGTATTGTGAATCTGACACCAGCTTCCCCTCACCAGTGATGTACAGTTAATATGAAGTCTTGGCCAGACACATATTTATTAACTGTGTTTTTGGTAGGTGAGAAACTTTATATTCAAATTGTTTGAAAGTTTCATTTTGAATTTCTGTGGCTAACGGTAGCAGCTGTTTGTTTTTTTAGACCATTACAGCCTGTATTTAGCTTTGTTTCTCTTTTAAGTAAATAAAAAATGGGACAACTGGAAGTGGCACATTGTAAATAGTTGTTTTTGCCTTTCAATGTATTAATGGTGGGATAGCTTGGAATACTGATATACATCTTATTATTCAGCCTTTCAATCAAATGTTGTTGAGACTGATAAAAATACACATTTGTTCTATTGGTCTTTTAATCAAATCTAGTTATCTTACTTTTTTAATTAAATTTATTGCTGAAATAGTTGGAAAGATTGCTCCACCCTTAGTCATGATTTTGCATTATATATAATAAACCATATTAATTTTCACACATGAAACTAGGCCAACAGCTGTTTCTATATTAAGAATCACTAAAATGGCATTCCTTGATGTAGTGTGGTTTGGAATATCACATAACATCAGCAGTGACATCAATATATACACTTACCAATATGAAAATTTGTATCTCATTATCTGTGACTAAAGTAATAATATTCTATTTAGATTCACTAATGTCCAGCTGGTAAGTATTAAGTATTCAATAATGCTAACACTTGTTTGTCAAATGATAAAATGAACATGGTCAGCAAGAAAGATGCAAACATGAGTGAACAAATAACAAAATTTTATTGTAGAGATTTAACATTAGATTGATTCAAATTTAACTAGTTTAAGCAATCTGGAAGTTGGAGCTGGATCAGAAGAGGCATGTCTGAATGAAATAAAACAAAAAACAAGTGTATCCTGATTATATAAAAGGTTAAAAGATTGTGTCTATACCACTATTAAGTAAGATCAAAGTTATAGTTCAGTATCCTCAATTCCAGATGGCTTATGTTTTTAAGGAGAGATCCCAGATTATACTAACTTGTATTAACATATATACAGCTCTTCCACTTACATATGACTCATACTCCGGGGGAAGTAATGACAGAAACTTATGGTCAAGTGAGTACTAGTATAAACTCTACTGGGTGATCACTGTGGTATGTAACCTTCTCCTGAGACAAATTTAAGCATGTTTAGGACTATAATATATTATATTCACATCCTGTTCACAAGAATGTTATAAACTAGCTCCAAAATACCTGCCTGTATTAAAAATTTATTTGAATAAAGATATATTCTTTCGTAAATGTAAACAGGTTGAGTATGTTATATAAAAATGATTTTGAAACTTCATCACATCATTACAGTCTGTGTCACCACATACATCATGCCCTATGTGATGATCATGCATCTTGATAATGTTTCCATGGTAAAAAAGCGACCTCAATATGCTATTATGATAAAAGCACTCCCTTACTCCCTACTGGCTTTCCATAATCTATCTAATATACAAAGGCAATGATTTCCCAGAGTCATTTTCAATAGTCTGATTGAAAATAAATCCACAGAAGGTGTATTCAGTGGCTTGACCATCATGTTTTTTTATGGAATTGCATGAACACCCATTTCATTCTGCTGCTGCTTTAAGCATTTGACAGTTGAAAAGATATGTTGTGAAAGCAAGTTGTGTCACTTTTACAAATGGAAATTCTTTTTTTTGTTCTCTCAATGATGCCTGGAATATGTTGATGGCTTTTGCCATAGACCTTTGTGCTCATGTATTCTCACCTCTTTTAAGATGCTGAACTCTGGTTACCAGAGCTGGAGTACAACTTGTTGCAATATAAGGATATCCCCATCTTGGGAATTCTAAATCAGTGATCTAAAAACATCTTATGTTAAATTGTATGAATATTTTGTATCATAAAGAGCTATTACAAACCCTTCCTAAAAACAATCAATATTTAATGGCATCACAGTACCTATAAAATGCCAAATAATTTTAAAATGTATTTCTGATAGGTGCCATTCCTCTATAACTTTATATCAGTCAAGAATGTGGTTTGACTCACTGGTTTAAAGATTCAAAATAATTTTAATATAATTTACTCAACCCAGTTATAAGGAGAATCTAGCAGTTTCCAATTCAAACACTAATATCAGAAATTTGACAATTTACCATTTACTTTCTTTAACTACATTAATTAATACAGAAGAGTAACTTAAGTAAATGACTGGCCTTAATTATTATATCTACATTGTGGCGATTAGTTGAATTTCTAAAATTGATACTATACTTACATAAAACATGTATATCAAATAAAACTTACCAGAGGTGGTTCTCCACATGACACAGGCTTGCAAACTGGAGGCTCTGGTCCCCACTGGCCTTCTTCCATACATACTCTAGTATTTTGACCAATCAGACGATAGCCCATATTACATGTATATTCCACTCGATGACCAACATGAAAGTCACTTCCCTTCATTGTGGCATGGTCCACTGGTTCTGGAGGCTTACATTCTATTGGCTCACACATTGGCACCTCATGCAGCCACCTTCCTGTCTCCAGACAAACACGATCTGATTCCCCAACCAAAATGTAGCCTAAGTTACAACTGTATTTCACCACATTGCCTACTGTCCAATCGCTTCCAGAATACCTGCCCATTTGAGATCAAAGTCACATTATAAGCATATTTTTTCTTACATTTAACTGGCATGCATTTGGAAATGTGAAATGTTACGGAATAAAATAAAGTTGCATGAAATAAAAACATTTAGCATTAAATTAAATTAATTTTATGGTGAATGTTATTTATACTGCTGATTAGTTTTATTAACATTTAAAATTAGTACATAAAAGGCTCACAATAAACAAGGTAAAAATTCCTAGTGTATCATGCAAGCATTCATATCATTAACTTTCATTATGTGTTTTAAAATACAACTACTAGTCATGAGTTCTATTTATCTCAGCAAAATTTCTAATTAAATCTTTGTATTCTTATTCAATTTAAGTTAAAATTTTAGAAACTAAAGACATTTTCATTCTACACTTGATATTAATTGCCTATGAAGAAACTAGATAAAAAATTTTAAAAGTGCAAGACTGTCAACGGGGTCTCTAGTTTTCTTATAATTAGTCATTTTCAAATCTAAGTCTACTGAAAAGAAGAAAAATCAATTTATTTAGATATAAGTAACTTTCTTAGTGCTAGAAGTATATGATGTGGCATGTTGAGTAATAAAACACACTACCTAGTAACAACCATATAATGCAATATGTAAGAAAAAAATTATATCTGTTTATTTGATTAACAAAGAACAGACCTGCCATTGGCTATAGACTCTGGCTGACTGCAACTAACAGGGACACATCTTGGTTGTTCACCACTCCAAACACCTGTTGCTCTGCATTTTCTTGAACGCACTCCCTAAAAGTTTGAGTTTTAACAAACTTTTAAAATTATCTAGGTTTCATGAGATGTATAATAAGTTTATATATTAATTTTATAATATATTTAAGTAATATTTTAGTATGTGGTTTGTCACACTCAGGGACCCCTGGAAAGTTATATTTTCAGGGGGACTGCAACATATGCCCTTTGAAAGGATCCTGGTACCTGAAAAGTGTTCATTTTAACAGTATGTATCAATAGAAAAACAAAATGAGGTTATTGTAAGGAGAACAAAATGGGAAGCAGTACCATAAATGAAAGTAAGTTTTTCTATAAAATCAGAGTATGGAGTTATTCAAAATGCCTGATGTTACAGGATGGAATCTTGAAGCAAGAAAGTTTGGAAGCCTCTGTTCTGGCAGATGAATAAGTAACACAAAGCTTCTTTCAAAGAACAAAAGCATTTTTAATCATATTTTCTTTTATGAATACATATTATTATGCAGTTTATATGAAAAAGGACAGTAGTCTTCATCAATAAAAACAAAAAACTATAAAGATAAGTATTAAAAAGACGTAGATTATAACACACATTCATTAATTTTTTGTGAAATTAGTTATTAGTTTATATTAGTTTGATATCCCTCCAACCACATTTTTGTAATAACCATAATATTAACAAACACAATTTAAGTTTAAGTTGATTTTACTTATCTTACATCAGATGTCAAAATTCATGTTGGAATTATGAAGTCTATTAGACTGCATTCCTGTGCAAATCATAAGTAGTCCACAAAATATATTTTACAACATAATGACTAGTGAATTAATTATGTTGCATAACCATACTATCTCTCAAACAGTCGAACAAAAATAATCCTATCTTATTAAAGATTTTGTATAATGCATCTTGAATATTTTAAAGATATATATATCATTATGAGATAAAAATGTAATAATAATAAAGTTATATATTTACTATTTTCTCAGACATTATCAACTTTAATGTCACAGTATAACATAAAAAAAGATTATTTGTTTCTGAAAATTGTTTGCCTTTACTCTCTCAGAAGATGAGCATGTTTTTTTAAAGCTCAAAATCATGGGTTAATAGATTAATAAGAAAGTTCATACAGGACTCATTTAAATTTTTCAGCTGCATTGTACTAATCATCACCAGGCAGATGATGGTTACTGCAGCAAAGCTAAAAAAAAATCTGTTTAGTTAAAAAAATAGTTTAAATGCAGATAATTCCTGTGTACTTTTTTTTACCTAGAAAACTGAGTAATAAACTTTGCTTCTCTGACTTTAAGGCCTAGCTGAATGAAACGTTGATATCTAGTCAGTGACAAAAGCTAAAAAGTTGTAGTTATATGCCTTTAACACTACAAATCCCACTACCAGTAATAACATACAGACACTTAACAATATTATTCTACTTTTATTATGCTGGTCATAAAATTTCACAAAATATCAAAGATGTTGCAAAAAGAGAAACTCAAATGAGTCAGTAGGAGTAACATCATGGTTCATTTTCCTAGTATGCTCAAGCATATGGTTCTGGAAGTTAACAAAATTCAGTAGAGATTCTTACTTTGGTAATTGTTGTGAATTAATGCTCTTAACAGTACAGTAGACCAAGGTATAAATGTAATCTTGGACTCATAGACTTTCCTTAAACTTTGACTATTCTAATTGAGCTGTTTCAGTTAAAATTGGACTGGAGCTTCAAAATGACTTCAATATTCTTAAAACTGCACCTCACCTAATTAATAAATACTATCTGTGGGATTTTAGTTACCTTTCTTTCACTATTTCTTAAACCTGTTTGAACATACAGAAATGTTATATTATATCTATGCTCAAGGAAAGAAAGTTCTCTGTAAAACTATATTTATTTACATACAGCACAATGACTGGTTTGTTTTCACCTGATGAATATATAAAACTCATAACATAACATTTCAGGACAATGAAGGACCTATTGGTCCATCTTGGCTGCTCCATCCTATAAACTAAATTAAACTAATTAAAAATAATAATCTTAAAGCCAACCCTTATTGTTCATATACTTATCAAGCTCTTTCTTAAACTCACTTAACTTTACTGCCTTTACAACATCCAAAGGCCAACCATCCTGTTAGAAAAATGAAACTGTCTTAGCTGAAGATGACTCCTACCTTGCCAAAATTTATATTTGTGTCCCCTTGTCCTACTATTCTCACTATGAAAAAAAGATGATGCATCAACACTGTCAATTCCCTTTACAATCTTAAACACCTCAATCAGATCTCCTTAACTCTTCTTTTTTTCAAGAGAAAACAATTTGAGAGATTTCAGCCTCTCCCCATATGACAACCCCTCCTTCCCAAGTACCATTCTAGTAACCCCTTCCTGAACAGTTTCCAATAATTCAATGTCTTTCTTAGGGTAATGAGCCCAATACTGAACACAATATTCCAAATGTGGCCTAACCAGTGACCTGTACAATTAAATTATAACCTCTTTAGAATTGTTTTCAATATTTCTGTAAATATAACCTAAATTCCTATTTGCCCTACCACTAGCAACAGCACATTGCTTGGATGGTTTTAGAGACTGATGGACTATTACACCAAGTTCCCTTTCCTTCTTAACAATGATAAGGTTATTCCCATCCAAATTATACTTATAATTCAAACTATGATAACCCACATACATTTACTATAATTAAAAACCAATCTGCCATTTATTTGCTAAACTCACTAAATGATCTAAATCCTTTTGTAAATCAGCAGCATTCTCTTCTCAACTAGCAACACCCAAGACCTTAATATCATCTGAAAATTTATGTCATTTATTGACTATACAACTATAAGCTTAATACTCAAACTTTCATGTACATACCTGAAGTTCATAGCCAACATTACAGAAGTATTTAGCTACACTTCCATACAGATAGTCAAGAACATCAACATCTCCATGTGCAGGGCGAGGAAGGTATCCACAGCTGATTGGTGTACATATTGGCTGTTCACTGCCTCCCCAGATTCCGTTGGCAAGACAATGAAGTTTTTCTCCATTCCTCATTTTGTATCCACTATTACAACGATAGGTAACACTGGCTTCAAACTTAAAATCACTGCCTTCAAATGTTGCATGTTCTATTTCTGGAGGTGTCCCACAATCAATTCGCTGACAAAGGGGAAGTTCACCTTCCCACTGATTTCGAAGGGCACAGCGCATTTGATCAGTGTTCATCAACTGATAACCAGGTTTACATTGATATCTTACAATATTACCAATATCAAAATCATGCTGAGGACCAACAACGTACCCATTGGACACATGAGGGGGAGACTCACAAGACTTGGGTTGACAAACAGGAATAGCACCATTCCATTTTCCATTTTCTTGACACTTTAATATGCTGACACCTTGCAAACGAAAGCCATCATCACACTGGAACTGAACATAGTCTCCTGGGATATATTTATCTTTAAGAATAACCACTTTTCCATTCTCCAACTGACCAGGATTCTTGCACAGAATTTCTGTAAAGTGGCAACATATTCAAACTTACTACTAAATTCTGTACAGAATTTCTGTAAAGATATAAAAGAAACTAATTTTCAGGACCTGCTTTGAAAATCAGTATATATATATATATATATACATAAAGTGATAACACAAATAAGCCTCATCATATTCAGTACAAATTACTGTAAGATGAAATTAGAAGATACCTTAAAACTTATTCATAAATACCAGCAAATGAATATAGCTTTAGGATCACATAATATGAAATATTGCAAAGTACCTGTACAAAAAATGTGAAAATAAAGTAATTACTGCAAAGTTACAATATAAGATAACTTTGGGTACATAAAGTGAGAGTTGTAGCCTACTGAGAATACAAAATGACATTTAGATACACTATTATGAATTATAGAAAAATGGTAATACAAGATAACTTTCAAAATACACAATAAGAACTACTTTAAAATATATAAATCCCCAATTGTGATAAAATCTGCTATAGGAACTCAGATAAACCTCCAAAGATCGAGTTTAAACAAAAAGTAATTGGATAAATAGTCTGAGTTTGGCAGCCATTTCAACTTTACCACTTCAGTATCAAAAATGAGGGCTTAACTAATCATGAATTTAGGTAGCTAATTACATGAAGCTGATGCTAAATGAAAGTGACATTATGGCACACATAATATGGGTACCTCTGCTTTGGATAACTGGTCTGTGTCAATTTCTCAAAATAGTTGAATGGGGTGGCCAAAGCCCCATTTATAGCATTAAATTTATAACCTGGATTTACTAGTAATGGCCTGAGATAGCTATAGAAATATGTCATACGTACTATTCTAAAATGATAATATAACATAACCTTGGGAACATGTAGCAAGAAGTATTATAAAATGATAATACAAAATTACAGAAGCTTGAGAATGTGTAGTAAGAACTATTCTTAAGTAACATAATATGATAATCTTGGGAATACACAATATCAAATAATGAAATGTGGCAATTCTAGAGATTCATTGGATTTTATTTTCACTATATTTCTAGTTCTTTGCAGCCATTGGAACTGCATCATGCATCATTATCTAATAGACATGATTATGCATTACTGCCTAATGGTGTAATTCCCACTATAAAAATTTCTTGAAAGGATGGCAAGGTCAACTTTACATTACACATCTTTAAATACTCTTCATAAAATCCCCACACTATATGAATGAGACCACAACTCCTTTACAGCAGCATCAGAATAGTTACAGGTATGTGGCTGAAAGGGATTACATCAATTTTAGTTTCTTAGCCATCTTTCTCAGGAAAACAGACATGAAGCCTGAGTTGTGGCTGGAAGCCTGCAATTTCTTTTCTTGTGGGCCTTTGCCATCTTCAAAACAAATGAAGCCCTAAGTTCCATAGTATGAGAATAAAATATAATTTGGGGGAAGAAGCAAAGTAAGCTTTGGTGTCAAGTGAAAAAAAAGAGGAAAATCTAAGGTGTTAGTTCCACAGAAATTCGGAATTAACACTGTACTCTTGAGAAAAACAATAACCTTGGGATTTGTATAAAAGTGTACTGTTAAAAGGCACAAAAAAGGATGATGTTAGTACCATTCAATGACACTCTACTGTTGTATGAGAACACAAGATAAATTTTGAGGCTAAATGGTAATTAAGCTCTGAAAGTAAATAGAATCTTAATTGTTCTTAGTATTAAGCACACACTTTTGTGTGACAATACAAGATAAATTTGATGATAAAAAGGAAGTTTGCTACAAAAAGATTTCTGCATTCTATATTAAGATCTACTCATGAGATACATAACAAAAGTAATCACAGGAATGAATGATGAAGGTTACTATAAAATGACAACTTATAAATTGAGATAGAGAATAAAAGTATTTTAATCCTCATATAAACAAGTATGCCTATAGTTAGAATTAACTGAAATCAGTAAAAGAATTCACACACAGAACAGTTAAGAGTTTACTGTGAACTATCTTAAATGTAGGAAAATTGTACTGTAAGAAACAAAAAAATTTTGTATAAAACTCAAAACAGACATACTATACATAATTAACTTTATAAATTCACAGAGAAAACACCTTTAAATGATTAAACAATATAGCTATTAACAGAAAACAGCTGAAATAACTATAATCAATTATATAATTTTATCTACAACAGTCTAAAGAGAGAATCAGCCTTAGTTTTGTGCAAAATTGTAATAGTTACACAGGAAAAGGCCCATATGAAATATTTCGATGTTTCTATGCATCTTTTTATAAATAGTAAGAAGCACAGACTGATTCAAGATATAACTGTTAAACCCTCACGTTCACAAACTGTTTTCTTGTCACTCCATGATCCATCTGCCTGACACGTCTGTATTGCTTCTCCAACCAGCCGATAACCGGGATTACAGTTATACTGAACAGTATCCCCATAGAGATAATGTTTTCCACTTACATATCCATTACTCAAGGAATTAGGAAACCCACAGTTCACTCCTGAAGATCAAAAGAGATCAGATGATGAAAGCAAACAATTAGCAAACTCTTCATCTGGCATAAAAGTTACCAAAACAAAAAATCAGATCTTAACGGAATGATATCAATAACAAACAAATATATTCCTTTACATTTATCACTTATGGTAATATCTTTTAGTCATCTGACAACTATGTTTTTCTTAATAAATAAGTTCAAATAAAATGTGGGTGTTTCTATTTGATTGTTTTTTTTAAATCTCATGTAATTCAATTGTTGATAAATTCTTTTTGCTCTTCTCAATGCTACAGATACAGTATGATAAATCACAGTAGCATGCAAATACTACTTATCTCACTTTTCCTTAATATATATTTTAAATCTGTAAAATTCAAAATTTGTCTAATTTATAATCTGTAGATACATATGGTTAAGGTCATATGCTAAATTAAGCACTAGGGTTTAATTAGTTTCTGTAGCAGAGTCTGTTTCACTGAATAATGTATAATGCAGTAGTGTTCACCTGATCATTAAGTTTTCTCCCATAAATCAAGTGTTTACTTTTTGTTTCATCCTCACACCAAGATTTATCTCTTTCATTCTACCTAAAACAAATCACTACACTTATCTTTCTACACACACTAGGTCAGCAAATCTTAAATTACAAAGGTTAAAACTGTGTGCTAGGTTTATCCTTGTATTACCACAACTCACCATTTAAACTTTTGATTATAACATATATATGGTGTAGGGTGTAAAATTCTGTTCTGAAATATGCATTTGGTAATTAAACATAGCATTTCCACCAAACAAACTACATATCATAGGCTTAACTAATCTACTTAAATATCCAAAACTAGTAATAACATTTTGAAGCATATTGTACAGTAAGAAAGCAATCAGAGTAAGTAAATGTTAACATATTAAGTCTAATACTATAGTTCTAGAGTTCTAGATATTGGTTAAAATATTTTATATTAATTTATGTATAAAGTTTGCCTCATAATTATTCTTAATTTAAACATAACATTTAAATCTTACTATTACACAATCTGACTTTATTACTTTGGACTACTTTTCATTAAAATAGGAATGGCACAAGTTGTATAACATGCCAGAAGGTTCGATTGTAATCCAGCACTTGATTCACAAATGTTGACGGTCAATTATGATGCTGAGCATAAAATTCAAGTTCATCCCAAAAATCCTTAACTGGATTGAAATATGATGATTATGCTGGCCAAGGAAGATGACTAAAAAGCAATTCAAGAACGAAAATTATAATCACAAAGTATCTTTTTCTCATCAGATTAGGAATGTAGATGTATATCATAGCCAACAATGTTTTTTTTAAGTATATTACAATTCTTTCTAAAGGAATTAAAGGGACCACCCCTGCAATGAGAGTATTCCCTACAAAATTATATTGTCTTCAGAAGCTTCTGTTAGAACAACAGATTCATGGTCATGTGCATCAATGGTTTTCTCTATACTTGTATTGTATTCTATCATCAGTATACTCAAAGCTGAAACAATAATCATCAAATCACTTTACATTCATTGTTCACAATTTACACTATAAGCACCACTGAAGCTGTACTTTCTTATTTGCAAATGAGATGAGCAATTTTTGGATACTATATGAAAATTTTTTTAACATACATTATATGGTTGAAGGCTGTTAAATTATATCCGATATTGAAAGAATCAGCCAATTGGGACACAGTTAATATTTCTCTTGTATCTGTCCAATTAATTACCTGTCCAATTATCTTTCTTCTCAGTGTGTCACCAACAGCTGACAGCCACATTCTTTCTTTCTAAAAGACATAATACTTCTTGATTGCCCAGTATGAGAGACTGTAAAATGATAAAATTCTGAAGAATCAGTCAAAGAAACAATCTTTGAAAGTTGGAGAGATCCTTGCTCTTACCAAAGGAAAATATGTTTGTACAGGTTTGTAATGTGTGATAGATGCCAGATTATGTTCCCGTTGATTAATTCTGTCAACACTGGTTACAATACATACCATATGAAAGACATTACAAATAATATCATATGGCAACCAATGACCTTTACAAAAACTACAAACCTCAGATGCAAACAAGAGATCATAACTTTAGTGCAATGTAGCACAAACTATCAGAAAATGTAACCAAGACAAATTCTTATATTACTGTCATGAGAAGCCTTTTCTTATCAGATTAGAAAAACAGCATTTGTCAGGTACAGGTGATATGTAACAATATTCAAGTACACTCTTGATATTATAATCCTTTCTAAAGTGATTAAAGGGCATGCCCCTGCAAAGAGAACATTTTCTACAACATTACCACTATAACATGAACATGGAGCATAGCTACTCTCAGACTCTGTGATACATTTTCTTGATTGTTCTGCTACAAAAAGAGTATAATAATGCAAAAAGCTGGCGAATGAAATATTAGGTACAGTGCTAATATAATGGGCAGTCAATGTATAGTCACTAACACAAAAGCACACTCCTGCAGGAATCAATGTATTCTGCAAGTTATGGTCATTAGATAACATACTTTTTTAAAGTAAACAGAAACTGAAAAAACTGGGATAGTGGTAAGTCTATGATCTTATGACACTAAAATCCACGGTTTGATTCCTTGTGGTGAAGAAAGCAGATAGCTCATTGTAGCTTTGCTCTAAAGCAAACAAAAGAACAAATAAACTGAGAAATAATATACTAAATCTTACAAGAGATTTGGTGTTTTACAGTGACATACGAAATCAGTTCTTTAATCTTTAGATGAAACAAGTTTAATGATGGAAATAATGTGAAACATATTAACTTTTTTTTCAACAATAATAAACTTGTCTCACTTAAAAACTGAAAAAGTGAGCTGAGCATTAAAGGCACAATGTTGTGAGTCCCATGCTGCCCTTGAATCTGCTATTTCCATCATCAAGCATGCCCAATACTGTTATCTCCATTAGATCAGTCTTGTGAAAACAAGAGTAAAGTCAATCTTAGACAACTGTGACAAAACCATCATAGGTTCTGCACTGTATGTGGACATTTGTTTCCAAAATTATGTTTAAGCACACCAAATGCTCAGAATTAAATTGATACACAGAGCCAGGATTATACAGAGGTAAATGGTAGTAGAAGATGTGACCAACGGTGGAAATAAGCCTATATACATACAGCTGTAGTGGTGGTGAAAATATTGTTGAGGTCACATCCACGTTATATAACCATGTCAACTGACTTTGATAAGTGGATAAAAAGAGAAGACCTAGAGACAGAGAGAGAAGACAGGAAGAGAAAATAAGAATAAAAATAAAATAAAATGAAAAGTAAATGCTGGAAATAGAGAGAGATTAAGAGCACAATTTGAGACAAAAGAGAAGAGAGAGGAGAGACTGAAAATAAAGAGAATAAGAGCACAAACTGAGATCACAAGCTCATCCAAGAGAAGGATCCAAGAATGACAATGGGGTCAGGGCCAGCCAACCCAAGCTGCTCAAATTGGATAAACAGAAAGATGACACAGATGCTTTCCTGGGAAGATATGAAAGATTTGCCCAAAGTCAGAACTGGGCAGTCTGTCTCAGCCCACTTTTCACAGGAAAAGATCTACAAGTGTATGTGGGCATGACACTAAAAGGTACTATGGACTATGACAGGTTAAAAGTGGCCTTGTTGAAAAGCTATGAACTCACCAAAGAAGGTTTTTATTAGAATTTCTGAGAAGTCAAACCTGACACTAGAGAAACTGTATTTCAGTTTGTGGCATGCTTATGGTGATACTTTACAAGGTGAATTAACATGGCCAAGTGAAGATAGTTTTGAAGGGCTGGCAGATCTACTAATATTCGAACAGTTCGTGATCACATGCTCCACTGACATGTTACTTCTCCTAAAAGAGAGAGCACTGAAAGACAGGGACAATATTATCCAGCTGGCAGAACAGCATATGTAAGCCCATGGAAAGAGTATAACTGGCAACTCCAAGATTAACCAAATTCAAAACCAGGAGTGGCTGACCAGAAGCAGGATGCCACCAAAGGTAACAAGAAGTTAACAGACAAAACAGAGAAGAGATGCTTTGATTGTTATAAACTGGGGCTCATTGCAAGTAAGTGCAAATATGTCATCAACAAGCAACAGCATAAATCTCAACATAAAGTAGCTGGAGCTAACTATAAAGATGGTAATGGCAAGAAACAAGAAGAGAGTGGCTGTCACCATGGATGCTGATACTAGAAGAAATAGATTCAAGACAGCTCATTTGATTCACCAGAAGAAGAAAGTGCTATGACCATGATTAAACAGTGCACAATTAATGGTCGACTCCAGTTAGACAAAGTTAGTGAAAGTAAAAGTGAAGTTAAACTGTGTGTCAGTTTAGCCATAACAGGCAATTTTTAAAGTGAGTTTCACAACTTTTATTTGTAATAACAGATATAGAGAAGAAGAATTTCTCTTGTCAAAGGGTGTTCTAAAATTACTGAGCCTGCCTGTGTGGACTTTGATGAAAAGGAGACAGTTATTTAAAGCTCTGGATACAACTGTGATAACCAGTGGTGTAATAATAATTTAACGAATTTTTGTATATATATTTGACTTTTTTTGAATACATTATTTTAAAACAAGTGAATTGTGTGCTGTCCATTTATTGTTTAAATTTATCGGCAACAAGTCACAGAAACCTATAGTAAAGAATCTGGCCGTATAAAAACTTGACACACAGTCAGGTGAATTCACAAGTATGTCAGATAAGGATAGCATAAACACTTGTTCTACTCTCCATGGTTTACAGAAATGCTGTTTTGGACTTAAACATAACCATATCTTTTTGGTGTCCTGGTCATATAAAACAGGAGTTTCATCTTGCATAACTGTTGTCAATATATAATCCTAATAGTAACTAAAGTTAATCTTTTCTTACTGTGCACTTTGTGAAATTTAAATTTCTCATCATAGGAGAAACCTGTAGCAATTATAAAGCCAGGCAAAAAGCTTTTTTTACATTCTCTATAATATGTTGACAAATCCTTATCACCACATTTTCAGTACTAAATCACCAGTTTCTTACCACAATCATTCAAGGAAGTACAGGTTTCCTGCAATGTTACAAGAAACTTCGATCTCTTACAGCAAAATATTTTTCCAACAGTTCTCTCTAGTTTGTCTTTCCATCACATTTCCAACATTTTCTGAAATATCCTGTTTACAATTGGTTGGGATAAGTGACACTTGTTAACAATCACATTTTGGGTGGGTGGATGACTGGAAGAATTCCAGGATGGTCAGTGTGTGTTGGAATATTGTTAAGTTGATGTCACATCTTCATATGGGTGTGCTAACCTGCCTTTACTAATGTCATTCATTAAGTTACAATAGACAGTCATATTTTAAATTGGGGTCTCAAGCTTTGCTATTTAGCTATGTCAGTATCCTTACTCAGAAAGGGCTGTGATATATTCCTCTTGTCATAAGTCTACCTGTGATTGCTGTGTTGGCCAATGGTCAGGAATTCACCATGAACCAAATATGTAGGTGATAAACATGTCCATCATGCCTCTGCATGTAACTGTGGAAACATACTATTGTATTAACATATGCAAGTCATTTTTAAATATGTGATTAATCCTTGGTACAGAAGCTATGGTGTTGTAAAATCAGTGATGAGCAAGCAGAATACTCAGTTATATTCAATAGACATTTCCATTCATACTCACTTAATAAAGCATTAATTAAGTTACAAACAAGATTTAATTATTATGTATACATAAGTTTCAAAAACAAAATATTTAGTTCATTCAAAATAGGATTCACAATTTATAAGCCACCTACACAGCAACAAAGATATTTTTTTAAATAATAAGTATGCCTTATAATTTTTTTTATTTGCTAGATCATACTTAAACTTGATACAACTATATATATTTGTATATGATATATATAAAGATATAAATGAAGAGTAAAACTCCACATACTGTAACAGGCAGGTTCTCCAATTGACCAGTCTCCATACACCATGCATTTTCTTGTTTTTGGTCCTATTAAATCAAATCCTGGTATACACATGTAACTTGCAACTGCTGCAGTCTTCACACCACTAACGGAAATCTCTCCATGTTCCAGGGAGTCAGGATGTTTACAACCTTAGAATACATAAAGGTTGAGCATGATGAAACAGACTTATGAATAATGTAAATGACATCATTACATGAGCACTAGAAACATGGAATAAATTAATATTAGCTTCTGATCAAAGCAAGCTAGTGCCTACAAAGTTCAGAACAAAAATGTATATCTAATATTGAGCATAGCTAATTCAATATATTGAATGAATAGAATGCATTATTTCATCAGTTGGATACCCTTGTTGTTAATTATATTTTTGCATATGAAGAAAAAGCACCAAAGCTCACAAAACAAATTTTGATTGACTTAAGATCAGTAGCAGTATTTCTGAAACAAAACAACAAAAATTAAATCAAAATACCTGAAATACATAAAATATTATCACTATAAAATTTGATTTAGTTACACTTACAAGATTATTCAAACACAGTTCAGTACAACGGTAAAGTTATTCAACAATAACCAATTAGGTTTATTTAATTCAAGTTACGTCAGTATCTTATGTAAGTATCCCAAAGATATTACATTATGTGCTTTCACAGTAATGTCAAAATATTTTTTGTATTATTATTTTCGTTTGTTTTGCATTTTTGCAACTTTTGTTTTCATATTTAAATGTTATTATTACTTACTTGTATAGAGAGAGTATACGATTTTCAAAGTTTATAGGAGTTGATAATTAAACAGATAAACAACTTTAATTCTGATATTACTTACAAACAAAACACTGAATATATAAAATCATTATACTTGAAAATTAAATGAGTCTACATACGGCAGCTAAAGTAACTTGGCTTTCAAGAGGAAACTAATCAAATCTTCTATTAAAAGTTGCAGTCTTAACAAACTAAAATTCCAAAGCTAAATTCTCAATTATAATATTTCAACTTATAGAACTTAAAATCATTTCTGCATAGCACCAGAACCATTGAAAAACTGTAAAACATTTTCAGCACAAAAGTATGTTAATTTAATGACTGACAATTTTAAAATACTGCCACAACTTAAACCAAAAAGACACCAATTGCATTAGTGTTGAACCCTTGTTTATACTTAAGTCTTTATATGGATTGAATGTGTGTGTTTGAAGTAATGTCTGTTTATGTACATTTTAAAGACATGAATTTTAAAATAGTGTTTAATTCACGCAAATATCTTTTTTATTTTTCAACAAGATGTTTAATGAAGTAATTTTTAAACAAAAAAATCAGGAAGAGAACAGGTCAGTTTAGAAACAATACATAGAACAACAATATCTGAGAATAATTAACACTTTAGTATGCACAATGTTGGCTAGTATATATATATATATATATTGATATAAAATATCTTGACTTGAAATTCATGGACACATTGGCACAAAATACTGTAATACCACAAAAGTTCATTTTTTCTCCTATTATCCTGTAATTTCTAGCTTCTAATTCTCTATGTTATTATATTTTTAGCACTACTCATCTAGGGAGTTAAATTACCCCTTCAGACAAAAACTAGAGATGCAAAGTTTGCTGCTCTAGAAAAATTTGAATTTGAGGTTTTGAATTGTCACCATTAATGTTATAAAACAAAACAACAAACACTAATAATGAAATCACTACTTACCTTGACAGAAGTTGGAATCCTGAAGCTTAACCATTCCTTTCAAACCACCCAGAAAATCTGGCCAAGCTCGCACATTGCCTTTATAATTGTCACAACGTGACAGAATTTTGGACAATTCTGACACAGTTAAAGTATAATTCCAGATATTTAACTGTGTTATTGTTCCAATAAAAGACTCAGGAGTGCTAAATCCTGCTCCTCGTCTGTCTTGCTCTTGCCCCAAAATGATCACTCCATCAGCTAATAAGGTTATGAAAAATATTCACAAATTAGCCTCTATAATATTAGTATACAAACAGATATATATATATACATTAATTATGTAATTAAAATCTAAATCTAATTACTACTTTGGAACCAACATCTTTTTTTAGTGCATTTTATTTCTGGATGTAGTATATTGCAAGAAAAATTTAATAATAAATTTCATAAACAAATATTTGATATATAATTAAATTTGAAAACATTTTTCTGATTCACTTTATCTAATGGAACATATATTGTTTTAAATTCCATTCACCACAGCTACAAGTATGTGAACTTTATTAAAAACTATTAATAAGAATAATAGGAAAACATTACTTTTTTGTTCATTATCATCAAACTTGAATTATATTGCTTTGCTTCCAAAATTATACAATTAGCAAAGGATTAAAAAAAATTTGATCACCAGGAAGATATGTTCCAGTTGCCAAGTCAGTGCCACTGTCAGCAAGTTCTCCATCTTTGTAAATAGCCCAAGCCCCATTTGGAGATGACCAAGTGGTGCATATGTGATGCCACAAGCCATCATTAGCTGTGACATCAGTGACTACTTTATCCATGTTAACATAAAAAACAAATCTGCAAAAAATGAAGAGAAATAAACAGTTATTTGAATTGAAAAAAAAATAACTCAGTGACATTTAAGAGAAGATTTCATTTTAAGTAAATGTATTTTTTAAAAATGTGTATGTTGCACTGATGAAGGGGGAGCTCTTTCTTATGGAAGTTAGCTATAGTAGTAAACACAATGGGAAGTGGTATCAAATATCTGATGTAAAGACTTTTTGAGTCTTACAACACACATGTACTTTAACTGCAAATACAATATAAACATGTAGTGGAACATTTTAATGCAAATTGTGATAAAGAACAAATACTTTCTGCTGCAATCTCATTGTTTTCTTTCATAGTTGATCTACTACAGCCATTTTCACAATGAAGACAAGATCAAAGGGGAATAACATAGAAATTTGAACCAAAAAGATTTTATCATTTACACTTCAGGGAGAAATGTGGCTTGAAAATATATACAGCTCAAAATTTTCATTAATCTAATTAAATTGTTAGTCTGTTGGCTTTAAAATTTGCATATGAAAGAATAAGGGCATAAAAGGATATCATGGTGTTTTACATTGATTTACTTGTTTATGTTAAATCTTTGGATGTAATGTTAAAATTTTTCTTACACTGAAAATGTATTTCCAATAGGTACTTACCTCCTCTAACACAAAACCATTTTGTTTTCTTTCTGGCCTCTAAGCACTGCTAAAAAATGTTTGTGCTCAGTGCACCAAGCTATATACCCCATTAATTTTGCACCATTTTAAAACATGTACATATCATCTGACTACTCTCCACCAATAGTATTGCACCACCTATATTAGCACAGCTAGCTCCCTCTGCTACTCCCGTTCAATCCTCACTTTCGAGAATTGGCAGGCTCTAAAAGAAGAACATCAGCAGTGAGTAGGAAGAGTGGGAATTGTGTTAAAAGAGGTAAGTATCTATCGGAAATACATTTTCAGTGTAAGAAAAATTTTAACTTCCAATACAGTCTTATCTCCTCTCACACAGCTAGAATCCCACATTGCAAAGGTGGAGAGCCAGTTTAAGTGCACAACATTGAAACCAAGTGGAAAGCAACCTACCAGAATGAACAGATGTGCCTCAAGATGAAAACGAAGCACAGTGGGGTACTGCATTACTTCTGAAACAGGTATGAAGTAGGAAATGAATCTGATATGGGTGGAAAAAAAGATGTGCACAAGTGTAATTTATTCTGAGAGGTGCAATCCATAGCAAAATATAAACCAAATTAGCTATGTACATACACAACCTCAACTGGACAGATGAGGTTCCATAACCCTTGGCATTAGATGGTTGAGGATCAAAAATGATAAAACAAATATGTAGTAACATAAACACAGTGGCTAGGGCATGTGGACCATTTTACATAGACACATCAACTCCAACTGTAAGTAATCAGAGTGTCATGCATCAAGCAACCAGAATTACAAAGAGGAAGTTATCTTTTGATCGTAACTGGACAGACTCTCAAAACCACCATAGGGGCAAGAAGTACAACAAACCGAACCCAGTATTACAGGGCCATGACGTTGCTGCAATTCAACTGTAAGAACAGGGTAAAATCTGTAACAAGATGAGCAGAAATCATAAATCACTCAACTATAAGTGCAGGGAAGAGACATCCTACATCCAGAATTATGAGGAGGTCAAAGAGCATTCACTCAACAGTAGGAACAGTGTATATATGTCTTGTTTCCAGTATTATGAGGCAGATGAAGCCCCACAAACTCAACTTTAGGAGCAGGAAAAAACCCTCCTGCAACCAGAATTAATGAGAAGAGGGGCCTCTACTGCACACAACTGTAGGAACAGAGCAGTATCATCCCGAACTCAGTATTGCAAGGAGAATCCCTCATAGACTGGACCTGCTCCAACTTACAGCCGTCCACCTGGAAAGAAAAACATCCAGGGAAAATGGAAGAAGGGAAACCAGTTTCGCCCTCTTCTCACCGAGTGTATAATCATGAATATGTATGGTAGATTAAATTTCTAAACTCACTCAGGAGAATGCATCCATGATCCACCACCCCAGCAACTGGAAATTGGGAAGTCGTAAGGACTCCATGCTCCACTGGAAGAAAGAAGGGTGGAAGTAAATTCATAGGGGATCTCAGAGGAACATCACGCCTGAGAAAGTGCAATGGGTATCTGCAATTCCCAATTCTGTAAAGTAGACCAACCCCGTTTTATTCAATCAAAAGGTCGGCAGAGATAGGAAGAAATCCCCTTCTGCTCTACTCATGAAATATATGAGTGATGGTCTAGCCACCAAGCCAGGCCAGCCCTGATTAGGGAAGGAAGGGTAAAAAGGGTGGTCCAATGGATCCAAGGAGAAGTTCTACTGATCAAGAAGTGTCCAATGAAGGAAATACATATGAGCTTGACCCATGGGAATAAGAGCTTCCATGGAAGCCCACATTCCCAAAAGAGGAAGAATCTCTTGACCTGTGAGAGAATGTGAGGTGATGGCCTTGTGGACTCTTCGTTTCACTTCCTGAAGATGAAGCTGAAATGGTTGGGGCCAACTGAGGTTGGAACTGAAGAACTCCCCACATGAACAATGTATTAAGTAGGGATAAGAATGGACTTCACCACCTTTATCAGGAATCACCCTATGCTGCTTCTTGTATGATCAGATGAGTGTGGTCTCTGAACTGTGAATGGAAAGAAGTGAGCAAGAGCCAGTTGTCCATGTAATGATGAATGCAAAGACCCATCATCTGAAGATGTCAGGCAAAAGATTTTACCACCAGACAAAACACATCAGAGGCCGAGGTTAGTCAAAACAGTAGGGCCCTAAACTGGAACACTCAATTTCTAGCTATAAATAACTATCGACAATGTAGGTACTGTGGGAACAAACCCTGAACTGTAGAGTACGAGGAGAAAATTTGAATTCTAGTATCAAGAATGTATGAAATGTAGCCAAAGCAAAGCCCTACATTGAAGAAAATTAGGATTATAATGCACATATTTAACAATGACAGTAAAAAAAATTATTCAGATAGAACAATGAATTAGATGTTACTAGTTGGAATGATTAGTAAAGTTCAAACTATCTAAGCATACCTCGATAACTAAGTACTCATTGATATCAAACTGACAAAATTTTGAAATTTACCTAGTCTACAAAGTACATAATGATAATGGAAGTATAAATCAACTAAAATTACCTAGAAAATAAAGTAATAATTCATATCTAACTTATAATAAATTTAAATTAACTTAGACAACAAAGGACACATAAATATCTAACTTATCAAGGTCTGAGCCCTGATGACATGAATTACTTAATTCTCCCACACAAAGGCCATCTGAACCACATCTACCACAGGTATCACAACCAGATGCAAAGTGTACAAGTCCAAACTTACCACTGGGAGATTAGGAAGCAATAGGAAGAAAGAAAGAAAGGAGAAGAACAAACCTCCACCAAAGTGAAGGATGTGGAGGCATGGCAACAGGAACAGGAAAAAGAAAATTAGTGAAATCACTCTCATCTTGAACATACAGGAAGAAATTGAATATGCAATGACCATTGACCTGAGTAACCACCTGTAAAAAAAGGGTGTGACAAACCAAAATAAGAAGGTGCCAGAAAAAGAGAATCCAAATTGTCTTCTCCTTGATTGTATTCTTCCTCAGCAACATTGTCATGCTGAAAAGGAAAAGAAATTGCTGATTGAACATATAAATCTAGCTCCCTTCGAATTAAGGCCTGTACCTCCTCTGCAGATAAAGTCAATACCGATTCCTGGGAAGTCATATCAGTAGTGTTTCCGACTGTAATGGGAACTACCATAGTCAGTACATTTCAGTGACAAGAAACAAATGTAAAAAAAATAGTGTTGAAACACTTGAATGCAAAAACAGTAAAAGTAAACTGTTGAAGAAATATTTTAAATGGCAAATAAGCACAATCATAAGCGGTAGCCACATGCAAAAAAACATGTCTAAACAAAGCTATGCCAATTAAAAAAGTGAGGAAGTGGAAATAGCAGAGGGAGCTAGCTGCACCAATATCGGTGGCACAATGTTATTGGTGAAGAGTAGTCACACGATATGTACGTTTTCAATAATGGTGTGAAATTGATGGGGTATATAGACTGGTGTGCTGAACACAAAATATTTTAGTAATGCTTAGAGGGAAGCAAAAAGATAGTTTTGTGTGATGAAGGTAAGACTGTATTGGAAGCTATATTTTTAGGAAACTAATTTTACTGATGATCAGTTAAGATTGCTCATTTCTTCAATGTAAAAAAACTGTCATTATGTAAATGTTCCTTTGTTTTTTTCAAGATAATTTCAGATCACTATTAGAATATAACTGACTTACAATATAAAATACAGTAAGATCAATCACAAAGGAAGGTAAAATTGCATATTCTTCATCATGTATTAGATAGAAAATTTCAATACAAACTTGTTATTTGAAGCACACTGACAATGCAGATGAGTAAAATAAGTTAAGGATTACAGGGACTCTGCTTTAAAATATTTAAAACTAACTTTCAATTGGAACACTATTTTTTATTTTCATTTGTTCTGCATACAGGTATATTACAATGCATGTTATTATGTTTAGACTAATGCATTCTGTTTATAGGTGTTCATTATAAATATTACATTAAAAATATCATAGCCAAAGAGTTTTCAATAATCTAAAAGAAAAATTATTATATAATAAAGGGTATTTCAAAATCTAAAGCAAATTTTCTTAAACTGTATTAAATAATTCAATAAGGAGTGTACAAACCCACTGTAGTCTGTTAATGTCAGCAGATTGTCTGCTGTGTCATCAGCATATGACAGAGGAGTACCATAGTTCCGAGTGTCATTAGTTTTCATCCACATGCACATGGTCACATGGTCTAATGTCTGACGTAGACCTTCTAATTGTACAAAGTCCAGTGTCCCAGAAAATGGGAAATGAAGAAAGAAATTTCCTGAAAGCTCTATAAAAATGTTCAATGGAATCAGTATCTTAAATGAAGGAAAGAAAATGCATTATATTTAGAAATTATTGCTTATACATACATTTAGTTGTTTAATGTAAATACATGGAGTAAAGCATTAAATAATGTTTTCCAATAACCATTAGTTATCACATGGATGTAGGTTTAGCAACAGTTGAGGCAATATAAATAAGAATAACTAAATATTACTATACAGCAAACAGCTTACCATAATGTGTCATGTAAACAATTTTACTATCAGTACCGTGAAGGAAATATGTTCTCACTAATAAATATATTAGGTTTTCAGGTTTACAGGTATCTGGGTTAAACATTCAACAGTTTATGCTATGGATTAGAAACCCTATTTTCCTGGAGAAAATTCACAATTTTTAACATCTATAGATGTTTTTACATGGTTTTGTCAAGTGCTTTGACCACACAACTAAGAAATATTCACTTTATGGTCATAATTGATGTATTAAGGAAAACATACAGTAGGTATTGTAAAACCAGAAGAGGTACAGCATATGTTATAAATGGTCTCATGTTTCTTTGAATTAAGTCTAGGAAAATTAGAAATACTTATTACTAAAGTTAGAATTTCACTCCTGGAACTAGTGAAAAATTTGATTTGAAGAATTTAATTTCTACTTCATACTTTTTATAGAGCATCTTTCAACATATTAATAACTCTCTTTGAACTAAAACATTATACAATATATTTTTGAAAAAAACAAGGAATTATTTCAATTATGTCTATTTGATAAATAACTGATTACAACTTATGTACAACTAAACATAGAAGATATATCAATAAAATAATCTAAGAAATTAAAAACATACTACTAGACAAAAAATAAATGCTATACTAAAATATATGAATAATAATCCATAAATTATTTCATATAAATTATACACAATTCACCAATTACCTTAAAATTATTTGTTTGAAAAAAGGAATGCATAGTGTACACAGCAAACCTAAAAGAAAATTTCACTCAAAACATCACAAGATAAAATATGAGCTGAGCCTGACCTCTGAGAGTGAATGAAATGACAAAAACAACCATAGAGCCACAGATTTTAAGGCTAGAGTTACCGGAACGAAATTTGTTCAAAACATTTCCATAAACTTCTTTTACATTCTTTGTGGCTACAGAGGCATTGCTTCCCTTCTTGTATTCAAACAGCATTACATGCCAAATGTGTGTCTCATTGTGTGTCATCACTATAATGGATTAGAGTATACTAAGCATTATATGTGATGTACATTTTTTGGGGGGGAGGGGGGGTGTAATGAAAGTGTTCCAAAATGCAACATTAATTTCTTGATGACCTAATATAAGGAGCTGCTAAAAGCAGCTCCCATGCTACCAACGGCAGCTCAGCTCAATCTAGGGTGGTCTGAGAGCATGCCCTCCAGAAAAGTAATATAACAATAGAATAATATAATTCACAGTTGCTATATAAGTCAAGTATGTATGTGAACGTGGGTGTTCTACAGTGCCTCCAGTTCCAAAGTCTCTGATTCATATGCATTAATGGAATTCACATTAGTAACTTAGCTGCCAGTGAAAAAACCTCATTGCTCTATAAAATTAAATTTTGAGTATCCATTATTTATAAAGTAACTAAAAGGCAATAAACCCACCTATACTACATTATACTGAAAATCACTACAAAGAAGATATAGCGGTACAGCTACATATTTTATATTGCATTATATGCAAATTATTTATAGAATGATGAATACTGTGAAAACATTCTGAAAACTATATTTATAATAACTATACTCTATGCACAGTATAACATAATTAATTATTTGAGCAGTCATTTTCCAAGATGAACTGAGAATTTCCATAATTATCTGTCACTTTGACTTTAAATAAAACATATGCTATATTGTATCATATATTTTTTCAACTTGGTTTAGCTGTTTCTCTTTTAGTAGTTCTAAAAAAAAAAGAAACTTGCATGACCCACCTGTTTCACACAGTTGGCCAGAAAAGGAAGGTGCGCACAGACAAATAAACCCTGCGATCTGGTCTAAACATGTAGCTCCATTCATACATGGCTGAGATAAGCACTCATTAGTGTCTTTCTCACAGAAAGTTCCATGAAAGCCTGGCAGACACTCACAACTACAAAATTGGAGTCACAAAAGACGTATATAATTTTAAGAAAAAACAGTACAGCAAAACAAAAACTTATAACTAGCTTGCAAAAACTTGAAACTTTTAACATACTAAAGAAGCTTAACAAATATATAGCTCAAAACTTAACTAACTTTAAATATATTTTATTTCTAGTCCCAATTTGTTTCAATTTTAGAAAACTTAATAACACTAAATGTAAACTATAATCTCTCTCAGTTAGGCATAAGATATTAAAAACTCCACCTTTCAGTTTTATAATACAAATGAACCCATGTGAAGATATGCTTAACTTTAATGCAAATATCATCATGGAATACTGTAAGTTATAGAATAATAAATCTTCAATGTATTTGCAAACTATATTCTGAAACAAAACACATGGATTGAATTGAAAACCATAGGTACATAATTTCAATATACAGTGTGACCAAAAGTAATAGGATTCTACAAGAATATGTAATAAAGAAATGTGTTTCCTGATGGCAGTCTCTATCCAGATATTACACAATAAACAGAAACATATATAATAAAGGAGCAGGTAAATTTGAAGAAATTTATTTTGTAATGAGAATTTCTGTTGTCATCTATTTGTAGTAAATAAGGAAGACAAAACAGCATTTATGATAATACATCAGAGTCCTAGTGCTTTTGGACCACTTTGTACATCTACTTTGTTCAACAAGTGTATAGTGTATTTTACTAAAATACCATTATATTAACTTCAACAAATTTAGTGTCATACCAAGTCAAAACAATAATGTTTATTTAGTTGCAATAACTCAAAACAGATATTGTGCAAAAATATAGTACGATTGGTAAATAAAAGTAAGATGGTCAGAGTTTTAACTTAGAGTTTAATGGTGTAAATGTGACTACAACATTAAAATAGGCTTAGTACGTGTAACGGTACTTTAGGCTTAAGTATATTTCAACTTACTTGTAAATCGTAAAACAGGATCAATACATTGTTTTATTATATAAATATAATCTAAAAACTAGTTTATTGTCTCTTGGTGTTTTGAGAATCAACTTGTTTACTTGAAATTAGATCCATTGGTGTATAAATTCAGCTTATAGATATAGGTAGGTTATAATACAAATCAGGCTAAATACATTTTATTATTAACATCACGTATATTGTTCTAATAAAGTTCTATATATTTAAAGATAAACTTTATTACTTTAGTGTGAAGACAAAGTAGTGATAAAAAATAATTGGTTCTTAAACATTAGGCTTAATAGTAACAGTGTTAACAATAGGCTACTGGTATTTGGTATTGAGTGTTTTCTTTCAGGCTGTAAGTATAAATACAATGGTTAAGACTAGTGCAAGGAGTTGAGCGTTCACAGTTTGTTAGGTGTAATGGGTACAATGAGTGGGTTTTATTTGGGAACTCGGGAGTTGCATGTACTTTTGAAGAAGCAAGTAATGAAGATGTGCAATTTTCATGTAGAGTTCGTAGGTTGGATGAGAAGTTAGAGGCTATCATAATTAAAGTAAAAGCAATAGATAAAGTGAAGTGTAAACTGTGGGAAATGGCAACAGGATTTCAGGAGGAGCTTTTACATGCAAGAGATACATCAGCTAACAATGACTTTCAGGAAGTTAGAAAGAGTACTATTAGAGCAAAAAGTAGTGAATTTAGTTATAATGAGTCTATTCTGTTGAGCAACAAATTTCAGCCCTTGGCTTCTGCAGATGAGGAACTATTGAAGGGAAGGAAAACAAAAGGGTCAGAGAAGGATGTGGATGATAAGGAGATTATAGTTATAGGTGATTCCTTGACAAGCCATGTAAATAGAATAGTCTGTGGGGTAAATAGGGAGAAAAAGAATCAGGTTATGCTACCTAGGGGCATAGGTGGAGGATATAATTGACAAAGCAGGAGATATAAAAAAGGGAGCTAGCAGAGTTGTAGTTTTTGTGGTGCATGTAGGGGGCTAATAATGTAGGAAAAAATAAGTCAGAGGAGCTAATTAATAAGTACTAGGGCATAAAGGCATTTAAAGAAAGAGGCCATAATTTAACTGTGGAGATGAAATTATAAATAGGCCACTAGGAATAAATGCTAGGCTTAGGTTAGTATGTAAGAATAAGCAGATTGGCTGGTTGGGATGGAAGGTTTATACCTAAGTATGATAGGGCTGACTTGTTTGCTAAGGCTATTAACTCAGCTGTAAGGGAAATTTTAAACCAGGACTACACAGTGGTGTGGGCCAGGAAAAACTAAGTGTAAAAAGAATAAGAGGCAGAGAAAAGTTTAGCATAAGAAACGATATAGAAGTAGTTATGAAGATAGGTTTAATTGTTACTATTGTAATGCTAGAAGTATAAGAAATAAAATGGATGACTTTAGAGTACTGGTATTAATGGAGAATTTTGATATAATGGGAATAACTGAAGCATGGTTAAACATAGATGATTTTGATGACAGATATTTCTTTAAAGTACAGGGTTACAGGCTATTTAATAGGGATAGAGTATTATAGAGTGGGGAAGGAGTGGCTTTATATGTAAAAGTGAGTTAGATCCAGTTGAAGTTTAGGATATCAAAGATAATAGCAAGGAGATTGAATCCATTTGGATTTCTATTAATGGACATAAAAGAAAAAGGAAATGAAATTAGTGAGAAACTTTACAAAGAGATTAAGATTTCAGCTGTTAATGAAGTCATGCTTATGGGTGAGTTTAATTTCAGGCATATATACTGGGAATTGCTAGAAGCAAATCATGAGGGAGAAAGGTTTCTGGAAACTGTTCAGGTGGCTTTGTTCACCAATTAGTCTACCAATCAAGCTTCTCACAGGCAGCACAAGGATGTAACTGGAAACTATAAAAGAAGTTCTCTTCTGTATTGCTGAAAGCAGCAAATTGCAAATAGACAATGCCACCAACATACCTCTCAGGCTGTTATGTATAAAATTCAGAGTGGTTGATACCCAGACAGATAACAGAAAGAAAAGCATATGTATGGTAAGAGCATAAGTTGTACCAGGCAATGTGAGGATAAAGCTAAATGAGGAAAATGACAAACTTGCAAGAGAAGCTCTATAATCATATTCATCATAACTCTACTGGCAGACTGTCTGCCTCTTTTACACTAGTTTGGCAAAAAAAGCAACTACAGAAGGTCTTCATTTGCATTAAGAGTGAATATTACTGTTGGAAAACAAACTACCGTAAAGTACAGTTGAGAAAAGGAAAATATAGGGATTCAATAGAACAACGTACAGCCAGTAGGCAACTGGTAACACTGTTTCATAATTTTAAGTAGCCACAAAAGTTATCATACATTTATTGTTTTATTGTAATGGCTATGTTTACACCATTAACACTACAATACTTGTTATTGACTCAGTGCTATATTTGAAACATGCAAGTCTAAGTATATTTCAAAACGTAGAATTATCTAGGGATTTGTAATTGTAATAGTCAATAGGCCTAGCCTACTGTTCTAAATTGCAGACCCGAACCATCAACAATTATTTAGTAGTGGCATAAACAAACCAACATGATTATGCATGCATGGTGATAATAATGTAAATTGAAATCCCATTATGAATGACTTAAATATAGCCACTAAAATTAAAGAATAGGTTACAAAACTTCCCAAGTTGACATTTCAAGCTAGCACTTTTTTGTAAGATTATAAAGATAGAACACTCTTTTAGTATTTTTTCATTAGTCTCAGATACCATAGAAATATAAACCATTTATGTTTGTTTCTTTTTCCAGTTTTATTTAATATATGTAATTTTAAAGAAGCAAATCTAAGACAATGATACCAACTTAACACATATAAAGAAAATACAAATTTGTATTAGAATAATTGATTTTAAGTAACTAATCTGTTTATCCTAAATTTTACCTAAAGCTTCCAATCCCATCTATACAAGTGGCATTATTCTTACAAGGTAATACAGCACAGTCATCAATATTTATTTCACAGTTTTGGCCACTGTATCCATGATGACACTCACAACTGTAGTTAGCTACCATGTCCTGGCACACAGCTCCATTCTGACAGGGACTGCTCATACATTCATCAATGTTGTACTGACACAGTGGTCCTGAAAGAAAATAAATAAAGATATTTCCACATACTAACTATATCATATTAATTTCTTTAATATTTGATCATTTAATTCAATACATATTTGATTGTTTGTTGTTAAGCACAAAGCTACACATTGGGACAAATAAACCCACTTTTAGGTATTATAAGCTCTCACACTTAATGCTTTACCACCAGAGGGTATTTAACATGTACTATCTCTTAAAGTGTACATTTCTCATAACCGTAAGCTGTGACTTTCACATTCAAAGTTGTGAGATAATTTACAGTCTCAAAAATGAGCTCTGTTGTATTACTATCAATCATTTCATTATGGCTTTCAAACTAGAAGTGAGGATAAAAAAATATTTTATATACTATCTCTAGCCAGTAGTACACAATACATAAAGCAAATGAGATACTTCATTAAATGTAATGGCCTAAATAAGGATTTCTTGCTCTTACAGAACATATCTCATCATTTGGCTTTATCACACCACACAAATAGGCTTCAGACACGTATCATAAAATTTATGGATATGGGAAAAATTGGTCCATAGAGGCTGTCCCATCCAGATAATAAACTAAACTTTGAAAAAACAAAGAAAGTCAAAGCCAGCCCTTATCATTCAAATACTTATCAAGCCTTCCTTCAAATGTTCATAAATTTATTACATCCACCACAACTGAAGACAACCCAATCCAAAGAAAAACCACTCTGTTAGAAAAATAAAACTGTCTTAGTTAAAGATTACTTCTAGCCTGCCAAAGTTAACATTTTCCAACAATGAAAATGTATTTCTGATAAATATCATCTCCTCTCACGTATTTTCTAATTGAGTACATTCCTTTACATGAAAACTTTTTCACTTGCCACTAGCATTGAGGCTCCCACCTAAACTCGTATTTCATGTTATATTGCTATGCTGTTGCATGTAAATGAGCATGTGACAATTCTCCACCTACACCTATAAGAGTGCAACATACCTTCCTAGTGCAGCTGACTCCCTTTATACTAATTGATCAATCACCACTTCAATATTATGCAAAAACGTTTGATGCACTGGAAATGGGAAGTGTGAGGTGAAGTATCTATCAAAAATACATCTTCAGTATTGGAAAATGTTAACTTTCAGTTAACAGGAACAGTATAGGGTCCCACCAATGGATGACCACACCTCCTCTGTACCATGGTACACTTTTTGTCTGGAAGTGTCGCTAAGACAGGCAGAAAATACAAGCACAGCCTAGAACCTGCATCTGGCTTATAATGAAAATGAAATGGACAGGACAATGAATTTATAATGTGGAAATAAAAGGCCACAAAATCTGCTGGTGTAGATATATTTGAAAACTAAAATCCAAATTTAACATTTCCACAATAGTATGTGTCTTTTTATATATTTCCATAACAAATGCCTAATATCACAAAAGATCACAAACACAAAAAAAGACATGTATTCACACACAAATGCCTAATTGTCAACAACAAGAGCTAGAGAGAGAGAGAAGAACGGCAACAGAAAAGACAAATTGAGAAAGAAGAAAGACTGAAGAAAAGAGAAGAAAATGAGAGAAAGGATAAGAATAGAAATTAAAAAAGAAGAGAGAGGGAAGAGACTAGAAATAGAGAGAATAAGAGCACAAATTGAGATTGCAAAACTTGCCCAACAGAAGGAAGAAGGACCCAAGAATGACAAGGGAGTCAGGTCCAGCCGACCCATGCTATTCAAATTTGATGTACATCAAGATGACATGGATGCCTTCCTGGAGAGATATGAAAGATTTGCCCAAAGTCAGAACTGAGACAAAGGTGACTGGGAAGTCTGTCTCAGCCCACTTCTCACAAGAAAAGGCCTACAAGTATATGTAGGCATGACATCAGAAGATGTCATGTATTATGATAAATTAAAAGTAGCTTTACTGAAATGATATTAACTTACTCAAGAAGGTTTTCGTCAGAAGTTCAGAAAAATTAAGTCAATTTATTTTAAACATAATATTTCTTATAGCAAATGTATGTTCTTACCTGCAAAGCCATTTGAACATAAGCAGGAAAAGCTACTGATTTCATCAACACATGTGGCTCTGTTATAACAAGGATTGTTCTCACATTCATCAATGTCTTCTTCACATGTATTCCCAGTGAAGCCATCAGGACAGACACATTTGAATCCATTCAAAAAATCTTCGCATGTTCCATTATTCTGACAGGGATTGCTTTTACATTCATCAATCTCTTCCTCACAATGGATTCCTATTGAAAAAATACTTTCAATTAGTCTTCACACCATTTGGATTGTTTACAAATACTTTTCAATCACGTTTGTTACATGCAATATGTTCTCTATGTCACACACAGAGCATAGCATACCAATGATATACTTCCTGCTATTTAATCTAAATAGATCATCCTTTAAAACCCACCATAACTGCCAAGTGAAACATGAAAAGTAACTTCAATATAGCTGTTTCCATCTATGCAAGTATCTGACAATTATTTTTAAAAAATTTAATTTGCAGCTCACAAATAACATCACATCATTCTATAAGTTTATACCTTTAACCAAAAAATATTTTTCCAAAGAATAAGTACACATCCATACTTTGACTCTGTTACCCTTAATATTTAAGTCTGTGTTTCCAACCTTTTTATCACTCAAATAGACCATCCATAAGAAGACTGTTCAAACTACACACAATTGTAACACCTGGATCAGTTTGCCTCTAACTCACCTATACTCCAGGATAAAAAGTCCAAAACTTAGAGCCTCTCCTCATTTCTTATATTTCTTAAGCTAGGTATCATTTAAGTATAACCAGTGCTTGCACTCTTTTCAACATGTTGGTATCCTTCCTAAAGTAAAGGGATGAAAACTGCTCATGGTTCTTCAAATGAGGCCTTATCAGTCTTACAGATGATCACTATAGCTGCCTTGTTCTCATATTTAAAACTTTTAAACAAAATGCAAAATTTAATTCCTTATTTAACTATAATTAAACATTGGCTGAAATCTTCATTTTCATCAATAATCACATTACTTTGTTCTTTACAATGCCAATTCTCTCCTGACAAAAAATATCCATTCCAAATAATCATACCCTAAGTGCGAAACTTTAAAATTCTCAATACTGAAACTAATTTTCAATATTTTGGTTCACTCAATAAAACACCTTAAATATAATCTGTTCTTCTTAAAAATTTCTTAATATCAGCAAGTTGGAAAATATTAGTATATGAAAAAGAAAACTATTTGTTGACACAAACAATGAACAACAAACTGTCCCAAATACATACTTATGGACCAGCTAGTCACATTCTTTAAAATTAGAACAATGTCCATTTATCAGCATTTTCCTTTTACTACTAACTCAGCTTTTCAACCATAAGCATCTAATGTACTAATAAGTCTCTCATGAAACAACTTTTCAAAATCTTTCAGAAAATCAAGATACGATTACACTTACTGTAGTGCTGTCATTCAGCAAAGTGTATGTTGTGCCAAAAAAACTCCAACAAATGTGTGATAAAAGAAAACTGTTTCCTAAATCCACAATGTGAATCACTATTAAAATATAAATTTCCAAATGCTTTTCTTAATACCTTGTATTATATCTAGTATTTTGGTGGTGAAATTAATAAGTTAGCGAATTAAACCTGTAAGGGTAATTGGGGCAAGATCTCTAGATATGAAAGAATTCTAGTGGATAAAGAGTTGGGAACAGGAAACATGGAAGGAATCTGTGCATGCTACATGATATCATATAGCACTATAACTTACTCTCAAACAATTTACACTGTAGAACTATAACTTATTCTAAAACACTTTACACTATAGTATTATAACTTACTCTTAAAGAATTTACACTATAGCAGTACAACTTACTCTAGTGGGACACGATGGAATGAGGCTATGACTGAGTGACCAATGCCAAAAAAAAACATGCCTTTTGTGCTGAAACAAAGATAAAGCAAGATGGACTGAACAGTAAATAAGGGATGCTACCCATGTGGAAAGACCAGTCCTTCTTGCAAAGGACTGGAAAAAAAGTCACTCATGAAGCTGGAGTATGGGAATAGATGGATGAAACAGAGATGCAGGTGGTTGACAAAGAGAAAAGGAGAAAGGAAGAGGCTATAGTAATAGGAATTAAGTCTGAGCAGGCCAGAACTATGCCACTAGAAACACTTGACAAGGAGTGGTTTGAATGATGGATAAGACTCTGGGAAGTAGACAGATTGGAGGATAGGCATGAATGTAATGGCCCTTCCAATCCTGGCTTTAAGCATCTACTGGCAATGCTCCCCAACCAATCAGAGAGGCATCTGTAAAAAGGTGTAAATTCAGTCTGGGAGCTGGAAGAGGAACTTGTTGAGAAGGGAGGAAGGGAAGTGGATAGGGGAGTCCAGGGAATCTCAGGCAAGGTCTCATTGATTGTATATTCCCACTGAAGAGCCCTCATGTGCAGGTAAAGTAGCAGTAGATTGTGCTTTCTGAACTGCCAGCTCCAGAGACTATAGTAGAACGAGAGAAGGTTGAGCACAACTGAGGTAGGAGTTGAAAAGGACTCCAAGATGAACAAGATATTGTACTGAGGTCAGGACAGACTTTAACTTAATCAGCCAACTTACCCATGCAGCTTCTCTGAGAAGAAACTGAGTGTGGAAAAAAAGGGAGAGTCTGTCTGATACAATCTGAAGAACTCAAGAATCTGCAGCAACGATTATCCACACGTGGACAAAATTGTACAGCCTGGCCCCTACAGATAGTCACTGATACTACTGGTGGCAAAGGAGTCAGTGGTGAATACTAAGAAGATTTACCTCTGAAACCCGAGCAGAAGAAACAGATAAGGGGCGGGTGGGGGGGTGGAATACAGGTATAGGAGCAGGGGGGGATTGAGACAGGCAAGTAGCCAGGGAGGATAGGGAAGAACGGAGACTCCACAGACTCCAAGAGCTCAGGGATACCTCCAAAAACAGACTGACACAACAAGGGTGCCATGCATAAATCTTTTAATGATGTGAGGGGAGGCAAATGCACCCACACCAGAAGGGAATCTTTTCCCAAAAGATCCCAACTATACAGTAGCCAAGTGTGAAGGGACAGGGCTGTGGAAGACAAATGTGCTAATGTGGACAAAGTAGGGAATAGCCAAAAACCCTCAGGGGAATGATGGATAGCCTCAGAAAAAAAGGTGAATGGAAGAGAGTTAGTGAAGGAGGGAGGTTAAAGTTAACTGAAGGTGGGAGAACTGTACCTGGGAGAAAAGGACCAAGGTATCAGGGTGTGAACTCCAAACTGGGATTAAAAATCTAACTGCTGAGAATCCAAAAAACGATTCGAAACTAGATGGTAGGCCAAAGCATGAGCCTCAGAAGAAAGAGGGGGATGGGGCATGCTAACACATGAACATAACTGGTTGGCAAAATGCTTAGCATGGACACTGATTTCGGGAGAAGGAGGAAAAACAAATAATTCTAGAGCAGGTTTGTCATGTAACAAGGAAGGGGAGAGGTAATATGACACTGGGGATAAGGACAAAACATAACAAATTTGTGATACCATACCCAGAATATGATGAAGGTCTAAGAGCATCAATCACAGCTGACAGAGACTGCATGGCAAAGGAAAAAGGAAGAAAATGGTTGTCCAAGTTTTTGCCATCCTGTCCAGCATCCCCAGGGTAGGGGAGAACTGGTTAAGGGTCAGAAGAGCCCAGCCTGCATAAAGGATTCCATTTCCCAGTAGATGAGAGATGAAACCACATCTGCCCATAATGTAGCACCCGTGGTCACAGTAACAGGTGTTTGAACCATCGTAGTGGTAGCAGTTGGAGTTGTCATAACAATAAATTCTGAATTTATCACCAAATTTTGAGTGGATAAGAACACCAAGATAAAAAATCTTGGTAGAAAATGAGTTGTGGAAAAAGAGAGAGGAAAAATGTTTTCCCAAAAACAGTTCAGCTCATACTGAACCACTGTTAGATTATCAAATTTGAACATTTAAGTTCAAAACCTAAGTATGAAAATAACAACACTTAGCAAAATTTGAAAACTGAAAGCACAATGAGCAAAATTTAAACACTTTAGTGCCAAATTGAGAAGTGAGGTAAGACTTTGTAATCCAGGGAGAGAAAGCTGTGCCAGGAGAGTGTGTCACACTCCTATTGGTGGAGGGTTGTCTCATGCTTTTGCATTGCTACAGCACAGTTGTACTATGTTAAACATGTGGGGATAGGTAGGAGTATCAAGGCTAGTGGTTAGCAAAAAAACATTGAGCATATAGAGGACAGCATTAACTGAGAAAAGTTGTTATGTGAGAAGAAGTAACAAATAGTATTGGGATTTCAAGTCAAACACATATTTACACCACATATTACTGGTATTCTAGCTTTGGCATTATTACTTAGAAGAAAAAAATGGCAACTAAAAACTTTTACAGCTATGCTCAAATAATTTTATAAGAAATAAAAAATGAAACGTCATGTTATGATTCAGATACAATATTTCAAAGGTTATCTCAGGACAAGAAAAGTTGCTTCCCTTATATGTAATTGTAAAAAACACAAAAATGCCCATAAAAACTGCAAAACCACAAATTTCCATGTATCTCTGCATGGACCCAACAAACCTTCTTACTGAATTTAGTGAAGATTCATCCACATGGAGGGAAGTAGTAGTAAAAAATTCAAAAAGGCCCATAAAAACAGCAAAATGCTAAATGTAAAACTGAAAATTTATATGGACTTAATGAACTTCCCCACCAATTTTGGTGAACATTCATCCACACCCGGTAAAATTGTAGTTACATGGACATACAACAGAGAGACAGTACTATTATATTTATATACATACATTCACATGTGAAAATGCATTTAACATATATAAGAACATTTTGGCTTATTAAATCTAATACTGTCTTGATGTTTTGTTTTAAGAACATCGAAGCTGAGAATTTTGGGGAATATATGTAGTAAAGCACACAAGAATCAACATGTATGGACTTACTTACATGATACCGTGTTTTAGTTTGATATTAATATCCACCAACACTATAAGAAAATGTACATAATATAAACATATTTTCAACAAACATTATGCATTTTTAAGCAGAAATTTGGCTATGCAATTGTGAATCCAAACATACATTTTACAACACTGATTTAGCTGGATTTAGCTGATATAGGTGAAAACTGCAGTTCTAGGCTAGTCAATATTTTGCTAACCTAATGTGAGCTAATATGTTTTCATACTACAACTTAAGTTACTGCAAGGTAAAGGAAATCCTGGTACTAGACCTAGCTGATAAACTCAAAAACATCAAATTATTTTGCAATGGAAAAGTATCAAAATTGTATTCATAAACAAACATGACACCAACTAATTTCCTAACTAAAACTCGTATGAATCTGTACTGCATGATATTTTTTCTCATTGATTTAATTGAATTGATGAAAGGTGATGTTGTCTGAAACTGTAGTTCTTAACTAGTCATTACATCAGTTCTCTCTCCCTCCTAAAAATACTAATGTTCTTTCATTTTATAAATTCTAAAACAGTTAGCAAAATGTTTTACATTCCCAGTTCAGTTTAGTTTATCCACTTATAACATCATTAAAAATATTTTCATGGGTCACTGAAAAGAAAAATCCAAATGATTACAATAACCTATTTTATATACATAGAAATGCCACAAACATATCATTGTGAGATTACTTTGTGTAGCAATGCACAATACAAAAAAAAAAATTACATCTTAACAAACTCCTCTTCATTATAATATAATTATTAAACAAAATGTTTGATTTTTTTAATCACTTTTTTAATTATCTTATCTAATAAACTGATAGCTAAGAAACAGTACTGCATATTGAAAAGCACAACAAGAGCAATGATTATTACTAACACAATAAATTAACTTAATAAAATAGTTTTAATATGTCTGTGTTTTGTAACCAGGTATATACTTAAATTATTAAATGTCTGAAGAAAAGGGATCATACTAGTTCTCCTTCAGATGAAGTGATTATCATTAACACAAGAAATTATCTTAATAAAATAGTTTTAATATATATCTGTGTTTTGTAACCAGGTGTATACTTAAATTATTAAATGTCTGAAGAAATGGGATCATACTAGTTCTCCTTCAGATGAAGCGATTATCACTAACACAAGAAATTATCTTAATAGTTTAGTTTTACCTTTATAGCCAGGTTTACATTGACACAAATAACTAAAGTTCAGTGACTGGCAGGAGCCTCCATTCAGACAAGGCACTGAAAAGCAATCATTCACTGGTAACAGTTTTGGTTCAGACTGACTACTGTCTTCCACTTCATTACTTTTACCTGTAAAAGACAGAAATCACAGTATGTTGACAACCACTTCAAATACAATTATAACGTTTTTGTTTCCTTCTTTTAGTATTTGAAAGAAAACTTGGTAATTTCAAAGTTGTAGTATGGTACACAAAAATATATTTATCCACTGATATTGTATAAATTATATTTCATTCAAGTATTCAATACTTTAAAAAACAATTAAAAAGGACAGCATCATATTGAATGAATTAAAAATATTTCAATTGGCCTTACATGTTTAATTCATGCAAAATGACATTGTCCTTTTTTATTGTATTGTACTGATTTTAGTGTGAAGTAGCTTTTCATGTAAGTGTATTCAATACTGTTCATCATTTGTATTTTACTACTGATTTTGTAGGATATAGCAAATTATTTTGAAGCATTCTTTAAATTTATGTTTTCTTGTTATAATGGTAAGTTTGGATTGCTATTGAACAAAATATTTTGGTGACCAGTTAGATTTTTAAACCAGGTATAAACGTCCTATATATATATATGTGTGTGTGTATACATATGTGTGTGAGTATACTTTTTTTTAATGATATAATTGTAAGCCTGACTGTCACCAAATCTTATGCACTTACTTTCACATTCTTCAGCAGAAGTTGCTCCTCTTCTTCTTGTTTTTCCATCTTCTGGGCACTGAAAACAAGCTGCTTGCCCTTTTTTGGCCTGGTAATAGCCATTTGGACAAGGAAAACAAGGCTTCAAGCCTGTATCAGACACTTCTCCTGGTGCACATTGTTCTAGCGAATAATTAGTTAGAAGTTATAGCTCACAGACACTTTTCAGAGAGTAAATTATTGTTAAACACAATGACAAAATTCTATGTAAAATACCTTAGTTTTCTCTCTTAGTAAACTGTTTTAAGGTTAACAGTTTCAAATTTCTATCAAAACATCACATTTTAAACAATAACTTTGATAGCAAGAATGAAATTCCTAGATACCCTTAGTTAGAGGTATGCTACCATAATTTACATTATTCCTCCTAGAGCAGCGTTTGCCAAAGTGCGGTCCGCAAACCAGTATTTTTCCATGAAAAAAAATGCCGGTCAGCAGAAAACTAAAAAAACAAAAAATTAAATTAATTTTAACCCTTTCACCGCCATTTTAAACTTTCTTGTATATTAAAGAAACATTTAATTAAACCAGTTAATATAAATATATTATATTAAAATTAATATTTTCAAATACATTATAATTTACATTTTCATTTCATCTAACTTTGATTTCTTAGTATTTCAACTAAGCTAATATAACATGAAGGAAAAGTGAAGGTTTGTATTTAAGGCTACGATACTATAGAATTCACAAATTGACGGCTGCCTTTGTACCTTCAGTCCCACAGGAATTAAGGTGTTTTCACATAGTGCAATTTAGAGAGCCTAAGATTAAGTTTTACGGTGTTTATAACCTTCAGATTCTTGTGAAATGCCGTAAATTTCAACCACACGTTAGCTAGACATGTCCCCATGCTGAGTCCAAACCGATCTTTCCCTGTCTGCATGTAAGATCAATGAAGGGATTTTGTCTCACATAAATGGACCATTTATTCATTCAAGTTAACCAGTTCTTCGACACCAAAGTTTTAGGAATCTCATTACAAATGTGTTAAATTTGCTTACTCTGTTAATGGAAATTGACAGGCATGCCAGTTCTTCGACATCAAAGTTTTAGGAATTTCATTCCAAATGTGTTAAATTTGCTTACTCTGTTAATGAAAATTGACAGGCACGCGAGACCTGAGTCTTATGTCTGGTAGCGCCAGGTGGCAGCAGACAAGTTGCTGGTGGCCGGTGCTAGAAGCGTCAGTTTGTTTTGAGAAGAGAGAGAATTGTTTGTGACTTAGTTTGTGTTAACTAAAAATTTTTTAAATTGTTCATTTTTAAGAAAACCCCACTCCAATATGGATAGATGCCTGGATAATCATGCATCACACAAGAAAACTTCAAGTGATGCGCAAATGCAGCCTAGTTCTAGTGAAACTAAAGTTAGTGAAAATAATAGGCCTAATTATCAAAGTTTAAATGATTTGCAGCTTGGTATCAAAGAAAAGAAGTCAAAGACCTCTTGGACTCGATAGTATTGTGATGAATAGTTGAAATATGGTTTTATAAGTGGTTGTAGCAATAATGACTTGCCACTATATGTTCTTTATTTTTCAATATTATCAAATGAGAGCATGAAACCATTGAAACTGAAATGCCACTTGGATACCAGACATCCAGAATACTCGAGTAAGCCAATAGATTTTTTCATAAATGAGAAAAATGAAATAGCTTTATACAAACCAATAATTTTATACACTTTTTCCACAAGATCTTCCAATGAAGACTTGGTTATGGACTCGTATGAAATTTCAAAACTAATAGCTGAGACATGTTATTTGCATACTATTGTTGAAACATTAATACTTCCAGCAGTAAAAATAATCACATCTCGTGTTTATAAAGAAGAAAAAAAAAAAATCGGTTTAATTTACTGTCCCTATCTAATAACACAGTGAAGCATAGAATTGTGGATATGGCGAAAAATATTGAAATAACTTGTATGTCGAGTTAACTGTAGTCAGTTTTTTTGTTATAAGTGGATGAAAGCACAGACATAGCAGATAATGCCAATTTAATTGGCTTTGTAAGATATGATTATAAGGACAATTCATGAAGATTAATTGTTTTGTAAACCACTTTCAAGAAGAAAAGCAGCGGATGAAATTTTTAATTTAATCAATAATTTTATAATATAGAGTGGTATTCAATGGAAAAAATGTGTTGTATTGAGTACCGATGGTGCTTGCTCAATGGCAGGTTCCCATATAGGTGTTTCCAGAGGATCCAAGCAGTGGCACCAGACTTTTAATGGGTGCCCTTACTTTTGAATTCAACTATACACGAATGTGTTAAATTCATAAACTATATAAAATCTGAGGATGACGTTGTAACGTCGAAACATGTAGTCTTCAACTTTTTGATGGCCATAGATAGGCCTAAATAAAATGTTTTTAATTGTGTACCAGTT